TCTTTCGAGGACATTATGAATATGGTTGTGGATAGACATCCAAGGTCTTGCAAACTGTTAAGAGGTGATATCTTATGAGATGTTATTCAGCCACTTCATTCATACTTTTCTCCTTGTATATCATTTGGTAGAACGAGACGTCAATATAAAAGTTCTCTAATACCTTATCTAGCAAATATACTCTGTGACGGACAGGTTGGTAGAGTTAAACTAGTCAATAATTTGTATTCTTAAACATATTTGTAGTTGAAAAGTTGTACAGTTTCAGACCTTTTTTAACATTTCTCTTTTTTGTGTTTGTCAAAGAAACTTGTTGAAATACCTCGTACTAAGAATTCTATATTGTACCAAAAATATAATATTGAATAAAGCCATTAACAATAATAATATCAGAAATTTGACTTTAATCTTTACAGTATGTGGTTCACTACAATTTTCAAGATTTACATGACAATATATAAAACGGTCCGTAGTGATATAAAACGTTTTCTCAAATAAAGCGCTCGCAGGTCCTGGGCCCGAATCTCGCAAGGCGGGATCGTGGTTGCACACTGCTGTGGAGTCCCACAATAGGACGAAACAGCCATCCAATGCTTCCAGGTTTCTCATTGTGGTCTAGCTTAAATTGACTCATCATATAAACCATTGAAATTATAATCAATGAGTTGAAAGTGTTTACATACATTTTTTTTCTATTTTTAAAGTGGTTTTCTACTAAATTTATTCATTTTTACTATAGAAATTCAGACAAACAATGCAATGAAGTTTTATTAACAATAAAAAATCCAGTTAAATTTTCATTAAATAGATTATTAAATTATGTATAAAATGTCAGATAACATTGTTTTGTAAAGATCACCATTTTAATTGTATACTTCATTTCGAACAGTGAAGATTATAGATAAATCATTCTTCATTTTAAAATCAGTTTTGATCATGAACTAATAATGATTAGAAAATTATTCATATTCAATGAACAGTAAATGAATATATCTTTCAACTGAGTTTTATACTCCTTAATAGTATACATCGAATATCCTGTAGGAAACTGGATCCAAAAACATTTATGTTTTACGATAAATTTATTCAAAATTACAATAAAGTTAAATAATTTACTGTTTAAATTAATTAAAAATGAATAATCATCAGTTTACATTGTTGAATATAATAAAATTCATGATCTCGACTCTTGAAATTACTACAATCTCCACAAAACCCCTTCTGATACCAATCAACATATGCTCACTAGTGACTGACTTCAAGAGATATATCCTGGAGTTCTAGTGAGAAGTAGTGACCAGTGGAGTTCAACCAGGTCTGTTGTGAGGTAGTAACTCACGGATGACTATGGTGGATGTGTCGCTCAATTTCGTGGATTAGTTGAAGTTAGACAATAACACCGTTGGATGCCGGCTCAGTGGTCTAGTTGGTTAAGCGACTGGCGCAAGAGTGATAGGTCCTGGTTTCGAATCTCGCGGGGCGCAGGGTCGTGGATGCGTACTACTGAGGAGTCCCACAATAGGACGAAACGGTCGTCCAATGCTTCCAGGTTTTCCATGGTGGTCTAGCTTCAATTGACTCATGATCTCAACTCTTGAAAACTATATCCAACAAATTAATTGTGAATTTCATTTCACCCCAGTAAATTTTTAGTTTATTATAAAAAAGAGAACATATCTAATGTTTCACATCAATGAAATTAATACCAAATAATTACTTATCATTATTATTGTTATATGAATATTTAAAGCTTTAGTAAATCAAAGATAATTTACGTCTGTACAGTTATCTATAGGTATGTATGTGTGTCGATGTATTTATTCCATTTATTTATAATTCTCATTGAAATTAGACCATAATTATACTCAATTATTTTATGAATTAACTGTACTCGCTTTTCCATATATATATATATATATATACTCTCATCATCCCATCAACCGAAATATATGAAACAAGTGAATAGTCTAAATGTTAAACAGCAATGTTTGTATGCTCTATTGTGTTATGTTATTTCTTTCTCCTACCAATAACATTATTATGCTAACAAAATTTCTAATCATTTAATGCTTTTCTAAAATTTATTTTATTATTGGTCTGTAGAGTTGATTTAAATATAGAATATATATATATATATATATATATATATATATATATATATTCTATATGTATGTATATTATATTCTAGTCAATTTGAAAGAAAAGAATATAAAAAGAAAAAGAAAAACACAACACCATCCCAGTGTTGTAAACATGTTTGAACACAATTATAAAAAGACGTAATTATTATCTTAAATACTACTGTCATTATGATTCAAATTAAATGGGAGAATGTATTTTAATCATAACAAAACGCTTATATAGCATATATATATATCATATATAATGACCGATGAAAATGATACACCATATTTTCTGTCGGTAAACTTATAAAACTATGATAAATTTGTTTTTTTTTTTTAGAAAAAAATATTTAGAATTAATGCTAACCACATAAATTTATGAACACATGTTCATTAAATAATTATTTGCCAACATCCTTTTAAATATTCTTTCGTTTCTTTTTTCTCTTTTTTTTTTACATTCCCTGTCTCTGATTAAAAATAGTTCTCTACAGATTAGAAAGTAAACTTAAGTCAAGAGATGAGAATGAACTTTACTAACCCTTATTTTATAGGGTATCGTTATTGTTTTTTTTCTTTTTTTTTAAAATAAAAATATGTTAGTACAGTTATTTATAAATTCAGTTTTTGTAACCAAATATTAATTTTGTGTTGTATAGGAAAGATAGGGAAAAGTAAAAAGAAAAAAAATAAACAAACATAACTATAAAATGTAATTAATCAGTTAGTTAATAAACAGTATTTAATTTCTCCCCCCTCCCCTCATTCAATTTATTTATATTTTGACAGGTGTGAACTAGTAGAATTATTTCTTTATTTTCATCATATTGACAACAACAACAACAACAACAACAAAAACAGTGAAAAATTTCATTCTGTTGTGTCATGTGATCTATTCTTGTTCTAATATATACGATATTTAATACTTCTATGTTTAAAAACAAAAAAAAACAGTAAACAAATCTACTTGAAAATATATGAAAATAAAACAGAAAAAAAGAACAGCCAAAATTAATGCAATGAATCAGATATTATTGAGAACTAGGAGATATTCTTACTTAATTAAATAAGTATATGAATCAGATACAACTAAATCATCAACAATGTGAGGAATTAAATCTTATTTTAATTCTATTGTTTTCCTTTTATAAGAAAGTCATTTATTGTAAGACGTTATATATTTATTTGATGATGTTGATTATCATCCTGAAGAAGTTCAGATAAGTTAGCTGGACAAAACGTTGGAATTATTTTCAAGTTTAATCGCTGAGATTATTTCAAATATAATCAAACTATTTATTTTAATTTTGACGAATATTCATATAAACATTTATTGTAAGTTATGTATAAATATCAATGAATATACTAAGCGATTGTCATAGAATTTCTGTGAGGACTTGACACATATGACATTGATCAACACCCAGTGATCAATCATTTGTGATTACATCTCAGTCCTACAGGAGGTAAGTTGCGGCCTGGATAGCACAGTGGTAACGTCTATGACTGTGAAACTGGGTGACATGGGATCGAATCCGCCAGGGAGCACCGGTTCCCTCAAGATTACAGGTACACCTTGCTGACGAGTGCCGAGTAGCACGAAACCCGGGTCCAGGGTTTCCACCATCTAATCTCAGAAATTGGTACATATGATAAAAAAAATGAATAAAATAAACGTTAATGATAAAAATTAATGAGTATGTATTACATACTCAAATCAGTCACTTATTTAAAAGGTAATTTCATGATAGATTGATATTACCTGGACAGTAATTGAACACTCGATTGTATTAGATAGCTGTTTTGAACTAGTTAGAAATTCAGTGGTAGTTTAAGTTAATGACATCACATGAAGTTATACTAAAAACCATGTAGTTTCTTATAAATCATAATGTGTTTAAACAACTATAACGGAATTCAGTGGTTCATATTTTCACCTTCAATTACTTTACTGTATATTGGATAAAGACTGTGCAATACTGATACTGTTAAGTGTCAAAATATTTAGCTATTGTCAAGTTATATGTAGGCTCAGTAAAATATGAATAATGTGAGGTATAGGATTCATAAAAGCTTTTTACACATGAAATTAGCTTACAATTAAGTGTTTACTTTTACTCAATAATAATCAGTGAATTCACTCGTTACTAAAAAAGATTATGAAGCTCATTTTGTTATTTTTTATATTGAATTTCCTTGATCGCTTATTCGAGCTTTTTGTTGAAATTTGATTTTGTAAATATCTAGCCACTAGGGCTATTTTACTGATACCGTATCAGCGACTACACTAACGGTTAACAAGTCTCGATTTACTTACATCGCTTCTATCCTCTTTATTTCGTCACTTACTATGATGAGACCCTAAAGTCTAGTCAAAGTAGATCGAGTCCTTTAGTCTATTCCATTATTATTTCCTTCTTATCTTTGTTTGTGACTGCTTAAAAATTCATTGAAATGATATGCACATTGCAGCGGCATGGTGTTATAATCTGCAGACGCCATAACGTAACATATTCTGGTACCGCTAGCGTGAGCCCATAAATGGTGACTGTAGATATTCATTATTCTATCAGATAAGTGCGAATTGAAACCCAAAGCAAGGCTTCAATGAATAGCTGAAATATCTGAAAATGATCCATTTAACTAGATTAAATGCATTATGAACTTATCCAGCATTACTGAAATATTTTCTTTATGAGTATTCATAATTAAAAATTTCAGTGTAAGAATGAGCGATGGCTGTTGCCAATCATTCAGAATAACGGCTAATCAATTCGGGTAAATGACAATGAAAATTACTTCCTGCTAACAACTGCTATAGAGTCTTTTGAACAACTTTAAACAAGTATTCTTGAATGTTTTAAAATTGAAAATGCATTTTGATACTTTTTATTCATTTTATTTTGGAAAAAAATAATAATTAATTATGATCTTGTGATGTGAAAAGAAATTATAAGCATAACGAAATGAAGTATGAATTATAACTGGTAGGAAATATTTTTGTGGGCATATAAAGAATAAGGCATTTTATAAACAGAATAATTGAACAAACACTACAAAGTATATGAATATTGAAAAAGTTAGAGAAGTAGATGAGTAAGCGATATTAACTAAACATGCACCAGGTAGAATAGCTTGTTGTATTACAATACCTTTAGAATTTTTAGAATTTTCAACAATATATAATGGATTTTCAACAATAGACTCAGTTTCATTAACAATTAACTGAGAATACTGTATAGTACGTGATTTAGGTATAAACATATTGGTTTCATACAAAAACGAAGACGAACGATCGTTGGAGTAGTTTGATCTGAGATATGTTACATTGTTTTGTGAAATGGAATAGATTTTCGGACACTCCGATAACTAAAATATAAATATTTTAAAGAAAAAATTCAAATACAGTGAGAAAAATTATCTTCACTTTCTCGTATAGATACATTATGATAAAAGAAAATCTCAATATTTAGTGCAGTAAGATAGTGAAAAAAAATTTTCTAACTAAAGAGGATTATTTTAGTGGTGTTCAGTTGCATAAGCTTGATCATATTGCGTATCGATTCTGACACAGAGAGTCAATCACATCTAGCATGTCAACTTAAATATGCATTTCGCCTCCATGCTTGTAGAACATGGCTTTAAGAAAATCCCTTCGGTCTTCTTAACCTTCTACAGCCAGACATTGCATTTTCGATTATTAATACATCCTACTTTTATCTGTCAACATCGGTATATATATATATATCGATTAGCGTATTTATAAAAAGATCTAACAAAATGATCAGATGGAGTAAATAAATTTAGAAGACCTTAGTCCTTACTTACTGGACATAGTAATCTGCAATCAGGACATACAAGTTTTCCTTTCACAGTAAGACTTTGTTTTGTTAAACAAGCGTTAATTTCACTAAGTTCTCCTGGCACTTCACAAGGAATCGACATACCTCCAGCAAGTTCTAAAACCAAACCACCTTCAGTCATTGAACATCGGAACTGAAATTTTTCGAAAAAAAATTATACTTATATCTAATGATAACGTTTGTAAGAAAGATAATAGGAATCTTGGGTTTTAAAAGTGTTCGTGATTCTTCATTTAGAATATGTATTTAAATATTTAAGAGAGGGCGACAAATATTCGTAAACTATAAAAATATGTTTTAAAGAATGACTATGGTTATAACTTTTTTAAAATTACTAACAAATTTTAATAATCTACTAACCAAATACATACAACTTCTCTCCTACATTTATTAACCACTACGTTTAATAATCTTTGGCCTATCGATAAACTGACTATAATTAACTTCTATGAGATTATTATAGGTGCTTGACAGTCCTAGAATAAGATGGGAAAGTTTAAGGCATCCTCAAGTTTGAAATAAATCTTCGACTGTCATTAGTTTGCACTAGAAGCCAAAAATTGTCTAAAAAATTAAGTAAAAACTAAACAAAAATCAAATCTTTTAAATTATAAATACGATAAAAAAGTGGTCTTTGCTCTCAGAAATAGGAAAATTAATAAAAAACACTGTCTAAATAAGAATACAGCTCAATGTAGAATATGACGGACAAAGAGTAAGCTAAATAAGAATTATGAAAGTTTATAAATAAGATCGAAGTGATTAAACAAGAGAGAATTAATATGGAGTGATCTCAGAAGGATTTTAGTGTTCCATTTTCATATTAACTTTGTGAACAGTTTAAATGAACTATGCTTATGATAGATTTTGAAGAAGATAAAGATACGTATACTTATGATACATTCTTAATAGGAACCAATAATTTTGGTACAGAAATAATTATTAGGCTTTACATGAATACTTTTATAGAATATGAAAATCTTACTAAATAGCTAGAAAACTCATAGGTTACAAACGACGTATAAAATTTTTCAGTATCTTAGACATGTTCTTCACCAGTGTGACGCATTAGATAAAATAAGAAAGTGACTATCATAATATTGCAGTAATATATATGAAACAAATGAATGTGCACAAATGCGTTGCACTTCAATAAAGAATAGTTACAAAGTGATTTCATATACTGAATGAACAAGGGTAAAACTGAAAACGAGGTCTTTTGCTGTTCTACAGTGTTCAGAAGGTTAAGCGCGCTAGACATAATCATGGGGGAAATTTTTCAAATCATACTGTGTAACATCCAGCTCCTTCCACTGGCGGAACAAATAAGGAGTCTCCATTAATTAAATACCAGTTGGGACTATGCTCTACACAAACAGAATCCATACCAAATCGTTCAAGTTTAAAGTTGTGATGTGGATCTGTAAAATAAGTAAAAAAAACGAATGAAAAGTGAATTGCCCATAACAGTTTGTGAGGTAATTTAGGTCTGTGAGAGAAATGAAAAGCCGAAATCGTTATAAACTACAATACACAACTTTGAATGAATTCATACTGACAAAGAAGTTTACTTAGATAGTCAACACCACATATTTATCAATTATTTGGAGGCGAATATTATGGTTATATATTTTCAAGTACCCTATAAATATGGGAAAAAAGCTTATGAATTGTATTGAGCTATTTATAAATAACATAATATAAAGTTGACTTCAGCTTTAAATCCAATTGGGACCAACAATTTGATTGAAGTTTACTTCCTTCTCAATAATAACTATGTGTTACGAAAGAAATATCCAGTATCCTAATGTATCTCTGATATATACTACGATTCTTTCTGAATGGTTTCACTTGCTATCATTCTGTTTTCGTCCATTCAATTACAAAAAGCATCACCAATACTTCCAAACAAATGAAATCACTTGATGAGAAGCGAGTGAAATTAATTATCATTAAAAGTAGTTTATTTCAAAACATTCAATGAAACAAAACAATCAAATGAAAACTATCCCATTTAAAGTTTAATATTTATTTTTGTTAGTTCATTCAGAGAAATCAAGAGGAAAAAAAGCAACAGATATTACCAATAAATATAACAAATAGTTCATCTTGAGCTCATATAAACTGATATCCTGGCTATAATAAACAATTCAGTTGATAAATTGAAACAGTACAAAAAAAGAGACTAACCCGATTAGTCTATTGAGTAATTTAATACAATTAGAATATAGAAACAAAACTATTTGGCAATTTCAGAAAGGGTTTTGTGGATACTGTAGTAATATTAATAAATGAGGCCATGAGTCAATTGAAACCCGACCACTATGGAAAACCTGGAAACACTAGACGGCCGGGTTCGAATCTCGCGAGGCGGAATCGAGGATGAGAACTTCTGAGGAGTCCCACAATAGGACGAAACGGCCGTCCACTGCTTCCAGGTTTTTTTTTTAGCTTCAATTGACTCATGATCTCAATTATTGAAATTACTTGGCAATTGTTCGATAGAAACTAATTTGGTTGTCATATGATTTAAAATATACTTCTTTTAAAAATGTAGTGAATAATGACAATATTGAATTTGATTTATTAATTTAACATTATATAAATTTTACTATAAGTTAAAATGAAGTGTAAATGTAAACAAGATTTAATTTAAGTTACCTTTCAAATTAGTTGATGCATGACAATGAGTATTAGCAATTGATTTTCCTACATCATCTTCCCATTCAATTTCCTACAAAAAATGTTTATATAAGAGTGAATAGAAATTGACTCATGACCACAACTACTGAAATGACTAAAATCTCCACAAAACCCTTTCTGATGCTATTAAATGTATTGAGGCAAAACATTTCAATGAGGATAAAAAAACCCATAATATATTTGTGATATCCCAATGAGTAGGAATTCGAATTTCTGATGTTTCGTAACGTAATGTAAGCCAATATTTCAAAGTAAACAAATGGATAACCGAATTAAATAGTATAAAGGAACAAGGCAGAATATTTAGTCTAGTCGAAATCAAAATCAGAATAAGTCTGATTACGTCTATGTCATGTGAACATTTAGGTCATGATTCTGTGTTTAAATATCACATTAAGTGAATTTTTGGTCTTTATATTTAGACCATGTTTTACTATAGTTAAGAAAATCTTAAGTAGCCACCGAATGTATGTTTTTGGAAACTCTCAAACAGAATCATATAAACAGAGATGAACTTAAGGCAATATCTAGGAAATTCGCACATGATGCACATATGCCAATAAGTGACTGATTAATTGCAGTTCTAAACATCAATGGAAGGATTCAAACAACCAATATAAAAAATCAATTAGAATCAGATATATTTTATACGAATATTTGTCAATATTTAAATGAATAGTTTGATAAAAACTCAAATATAATTTTCTCAATTAAGGATCAAATTTAGTTTATACAACTGGATTTTACTTACATGTACACTAAAGTTTAGACCCTTCACACTTTTTTAACTATGTTTATATCATGGATCTAAATGCCCGAAATAATGATGCTAAATCAACAGACAACAAGTGAGAGTTTTCTTTCTATAGTTTTGTCCATTTAATTGTTATACCGTTAAAAATCCCAACAACAAAAATGCTTAACTCTCACACATTGACAATTACATAATACTCTCTAAGTGAATGATTTTATTAGCAGTATAATTAAATAAAATAATTTAATTAACAAACCTGATGATATGGACAGTAATTAGCCAAAGCTATTTTTCCTCCTAATTTAACCAAAGGATACTGATTAGTTAAGTTTCCAGTACCTAGATTGATTTCAGAATTCAATGTAACAGTCGAGAAATTTGTATTAACGAAATATACATATTCACCAGGCAATGGTTTGGAATATTCAATTAGGTTACAAAATCCATAACTTTCTTCACCAGGTGTACAGCTAACCTGTAATCCATTATTTTTGTTGTGAAAGCTTGAAGTTAACTGTTGACAAAACGGTGCAATTGGATGACCACTATATAAAGGGAAAGAAAACAAATTACGTTAATTAATACCCAAAGGATATTTGTTTGTGAACGAAGATAGTTTACCTTCTGTTTAATCCACGTATTAAAGTATTATGTAATTTACGAAGTATAAGAGAAAAAATTTACATAATTAGCAGCGGTTGTGAGATATTAATATTCTAATATAATAACTCGTGAAAGTCAACTTTCTGAATTCACATACTCAAAAATAAATGAAAACACATCTTCTCAGACCAAATCTCAGAAGCTGCCAGAGTACGAGGTTGGATGACCGGTGTTCGCTCGAGACTACAGAGCAAATCGTGGTCCTTGGACTGAACCACGTGCGGTTAGAAAACTAGGCCAAGTTATGTACGAGGTAAAGGTGGGAAGAGACACGTGGACTAGACACCGAAACCAACTACGAAAGCAGATAGCCCCAGACTGCCCATCAACAGGAGTAAATCTTCCCCTTGACATCCTGCTTAACACCTTCAACTTACCAGCAGCCCCGCCAGGAGAAGAAGCTCAACAACAAGCTGATCTCCGTTCCAGAAGGTGGCCTCTCCGACAGCGGCTAGCAACAATCAAGATGCAAGTCGACCCCAGGAAAGTACGCTATTAAAACGGGGAGGCGTGTTTTATTTATTATTATTTGAATAAATATTGGTACAAGAGAGCGCCAATATATATGCGCCACACAAAACAATGAGAATTCGAGGAGAAAAAAAGGTAAGGAGCGTAAAAAAAGAGAACAATAACGAGGAGATTGGTGTAAGGTAGTGTAGTAATAATGAGGGAACGGAAAGGTACAATCAGAAGAAATCTTTCAGTTAAGGGAGACACAACCACTTTTTATGAAGAAAGTAAAAGAAGGTTACAGCAGGATCGCCACTGGCTTCTATTCTGACCCATATCTGATAACGTCTCTAGCCACTGTGTTGCACCATCTCTCGGACCTCAGCCAGGGAGTCGTAAAGGACCAACAGAAGCCAGTCCTTTGCAGCTTTCTTTCATGCCACGACACCATATCATACACTGACCAACTCTCCGCATTTTCCAATCAGTCCCAGAGTCGGCAAATGATGCACGATGTGGGATGACATTCGTAGTACATGTCCAAGCCACCGAAGTCGGTGTTTCAAGATGGTGACACCAATTGAATTATCGTCTCTGCGCCGAACCTCTGCATTACTAACATGGTGTTGCCACTGGATGCCAGCAATCCTTCGGAGACAGCGATGATCGAACACAGAGAGTCGTCTAACATCCTCAACTCGGAGAGGCCAGGTTTACAAGTATAGAGCAGAACTGCTCTCACCAACGCATTGTAGATGCGACCCTTTACAGCCAGACTAACATTAAGAAGGCGTCAAAGATGGCCCAGATTGGCATAAGCCGCTCTGGCTCTCACTATACATCCATTGATCTCATCACTCACACCACCACCAGCACTTATGCAGCTACCCAGATACACGAACTTCTCGACTACTTCTATCTGCTCACCATCCAGAGTGAGTACAGGATTAGAATCCTGCCAGTCTTGTAGAAGTACTTTGCACTTCGAAGGTGCAAAGCACATACCATACCTACGGACACTGATTGCCAACTGATTAAGTGCGGATTGCATGCCTTGGGCATTATCGCACAGTAAGACAATATCATCGTCCGCATACTCAAGGTCAAGAAGTCTTTCTCCAGGCAACAGATCCACACCACCATTACTTACATCCATCAGAGCTGTTTCCAGAATGTCATCGATGGCAAAGTTGAAGAGGAATGGTGAGATTGTGCAACCCTGCCTAACCCCACTGCTCGAATGGAACAATGGAGAAAGGTGGTTGTATGCCCTCACTCTGCCTGAGGTGTTTTTATATAGGGCTTTTAGGATGTTAATAAACTTCTCAGGCACACCCTTCTTCAATAGACAATCCCAGAGAACAGCCCTGTCCAACGAATCGAAGGCAACCCTGATGTCAAGAAACACTACGATTGTTGGCCTTCGATAAGTATGGAGGTATTCTAACACTTAGTGGAGGGTGAAGATATAATCAATACATCCTCGACAAGAACGAAACCCAGCCTGCTCCTCGCGAGTCAATCTTTCTCGGGTTTTGAACAACCTACGAAGTATGATGGAAGCCAATAATTTGGACACAATCGACGTAGACTTATCCCCCCGATAGTTGTTACAGGAACGACTTGAACCCTTTTTAAAGATAGGGACAACTATCGACTCATTCCATGACGTTGGTACACTCTCTAGCTCCCAGACCTTTGTAAACAACGTTGTCAGTTCCTTAGTCAGAAAGTCACCACAATCTTTAAAAAGGGCAGGAAGTAAGTCATCTGGGCCCGGTGATTTGTAGCGCTTCAAGAGTTGGAGTAGACGGTCCCTGTTATCTGACCTGTGACCAACAAGTCCCCATCGGCCACCTAAACGACTCTCTTCTGTGCCTAGACGCCCGACCTGAGCATTCAAGTCTCCGGCTAGTACCACAATATCTGTCGAACGCACTTCCTGGAGAAGAACAGTCAACTGGTGGTAAAACTGATCCTTGATTGCATCCGGGCTGCAATCTGTCGGAGCATAGGCGGAGATGACGAAAAGACATCGTTTCTCACACCGACTTCTTCTCACTTTGATGGAACCTCCTAATATAACAGCACATAACCGACTGTTAATGGGGATCCAATCGATTAGTGCTGCCTCAGCTCTAGTGCGCTTAGTGCGGCACCAACGCCAGCAAGACCAGACGGAGATGCCATAGGGTCCCCGGATAAACGCACGTAAAACAAGGTTTTTGAAGCGACAGATGGAGAGAAAATTTGAATTTCTTTATTTTCGCGCCAAAGGCGCTCTTGTCACCTTCATGTCGTATTTCCCACTGGGAAATATCTTAAATACTATTGGTCCGTTGGGTCTTTTAGTATGCTATTTGGTAACTCTCCCCAAGGGCAGTTTTTTACTGTATATATACGTTTTGGATTGTTGTTATCGCTAATTTCTGGCTGTTTGCAGAGTATACTTCCCCATTCCAAGATTGGACTTCTCCCTCTAGTTAGAGGGGCTGGGACGCATCAATAGCTAGCCTACTGGTCTTTGGTCACCGAGTCTTTTTTCTCGTTCGCAGATTAAGTGAACTCGTGATAGCTTCAACCCTAGCATAGTCTCAACTAATAATATTGCTATAATATCCACAAAACCGCTTCTGAAAACACAATACGCTACATAATTTAGTTATGAAAACTAAAAATTTACGGTGTCATGCAAACTATTCGCTTCAAAATACATTTAAGTAAAAGTTATTTAGAAGTGTAAATCTGTTTTATAAGGAAATTTCTGTTCAATATCTTATTCCAAAATTTTGGGACAAGTTCGTATAAGAAGTGGTTTGGTTATAGAAACTCCAAATATTTTTTGTAGTTCACTAACAGTGAACCGTTTGAAACTATGCCACCAAAGTGTCGTTACAACTCAAATGTATAAGTCTATCATTCTATGTTTGCCTTGTCAATAAATACAGTAGAAAATATTCTGCTTATTAGATCCATTAAACATATGTACAACATAAAACAAACTATTCAGAAAAGCTTATTTTGCTACTGAAGACGTCTGTATGCTATAGTAATTCTACTGAGTCCACCCAATGAATATGTTAAATTCTATATGGAGCACTAAAGTGCTTCCTCAAAGCTTTCTGCAACTGATAATTGTTCAAGGGATTTATCAAGCCGAAGTACGTAATCAAACCATGGATGAAGATTTATGTTACAGTTTATTATCAGATTGATATCCATTGAACTCTCTTCCATTATACAAATCAGTCCTTAGATGGGAGCTTTAATTTTGTAATTTTTAGTTCTAAGTCAAAATATAAAGTGGCCTGACTTCAGTAATAACTAATAATTAATTTAGTCGTGATTTCTAATCACTGAAGAACGACTTAAAAAAGGCACATTGTCCGAATGTCATGACTTAATTTGATGCTTCTCCTGTAATGCACAACCGAGACCTCAACAAGAATGGAAATCGGTGTCTTTTGTTGGGATTCTCAACTAAGTCAAAGAGGTCACGATTCGATAATGGACTATTGTGTTGCCAGCAGGCATTTTCATACCATCCTCTAGTCCAATGATTCCAACTGATCTGTACAGATCTCCAAAGTCGTCAATAACGATTGGGTTATTTCGAACGTTTATGTTGACTATTCTCAAATTAATCAAATGCATAATCCACTAACCTGTAAACATTCAACATTAGTGTAAATATTGAATAGCGAAAGTTTCACATCAAATTACTTACCCACGACTTTGTTCTAGCATGTATTCTAAACAACTGCCAGTAGCAAAGGTACATCCTCGACCTCTACCCCAACTGAAAGACTGAGATAATGCATAGTTTGGGATGTACCAGCTTAAATGAAGAAAAAATCAAAATTGTAAACCGTTTGTAAATTGCTTTTACTAGAAAATTAAATATGAATGTACAAAATAAAGGTTTCTTAAGCTTCTACTTCAGAAGATCTAGGAGTGACGAGAATGTTAATTATTTATTACACAATTTTAAGGATTCAGGTGAAAAGTTCCACTAACAGTTATACGAAAGCCAATCAACCCACAGTTCAAGAGATAAAAAATAGCATGACTAATGGTAAATTATAACAGTTAAACCCGGTCATTTGTTGATTAGATGTTTAGCTCAGCAAACAGTCTGTTGAAAAACAAACAAATACTTTGAAAATGTAGTGTCTGAAAACATTAAGAAACTACATAAAACTGCGAACGAATTTGTTAGGATATTAAGAACGCGCACAAAATTCTGTTTCCTTCATCGATCATTGGAATTCATTTGGAAAGTATGATCCATTGTCATAATTGAAGAACTTTGAAAAGCTATTTGGCAAATAAACTGTTGATATTCATTCTTAGTTTTAACTATTTAATTGTACTATACCGTTGAAAGAGTTTGTTTACAGTCACCAGGTGAAATCATGCTAAAGTATATATGTGTAACTAAGTTCATCGATGATTTACGATATTGGTTAAACAAATCTATCATTTGCAATGAATTTGTAGGTAAACAGATACTTTTATTAACCTTCAACTGGTCAGAAAATATTTTCTTAATAACGTGAAAACCAGATTATGATGAGTGAAGTTTGAGATTTTGAGTTTAAGATTCTGAAACTCAATACGTAAAAAGTTCTTTTGAATAGAATCAGTCCGATGATCTATCTCTACAACCAAGAGCGTAGTTAGAAAGTAATTTTTTCTTTTTTTTCGAAAATTTCTTTAGTGATTATGTTAACTGACAAACAAAATTATCCCGTTAATCACATCACACCTTTACAACTGACTATTAAGTGTCGGACTTTCATACAGTATATTTCAAATGAACTGTTGTAATGTTGAGTATTTACATATAATACAATGAGCATTCAAAAATTTGAATAGGATCTAGGAATTGTAGGCTAATTTTAAGTGATCATCATAATTATCTTAAAGCACTGAGATTTAAACGTTTTATTAAGGGGAAAAAAAGTAATCAACTCTTGGGGATATAAATTTAGAATACAAAGGGTTTAGAGCCACTTGAACTTAATGAGCTTACCCGGTATCCTCCATCATTGCCAGAGTAATCGGTGAAATTCGAAAAGAATTTGTGTATGTTGCCGTCATTAAATCATTCTTTAAAAAATGTTTGAAAATTTAGAAATTAAAATGTAACTACTCATAAGTAACTTAGTATCTAAGACATAAACCATAAACAACAAGCTACGGAAATACGAACAAAACAAGTACTATTGTGATTTTTGAGTTGATGGATTTTAAAATATTCACGGAGATTTAGCAATTGATCCCGAGAGAAATAGTTGATCATGAATACTTGATGGTTATTTGTTGAAGAATGACGAAATAGTTCAATTTCATAGGAAGAACAAATCTCCAGTTAAGGATACTGACACAACAATTTAATCGTTTGGAATATGACTATCGTGAAATTTATCGTCTGTGACATGTGATTACGTTTCGAGAAGGTGTAATCACAGGACTTAGTCAATTGGCTATATGCATTAGTTATAGATGTCTAATTGTATGATATTCTAAACATCACCAAACAATAAAATAGTATTCAGGCTTAATTTTCATCCTTAATTGCATTTACTATAAAATCCTTAAGTGCTCTACAGCATTTTAACCATTCATTTTTAGATTTGGATACTACATAAATTATAAGTACTACAACTTTATGTTGTTCTAGATATTATGAGCTTACTGGTTATCATTTTTCTAATAGATGCATTTATTAGTAAAACATACCTCTAAAAGGCGTTTCTCCCAGTGTGTTAGATACACTCCTGCATCATCCTCATCTTCTAGCTCAACACCATCAAGATTCGGACAGTTGTAGAATGATCTGGCGATACGCTATAAGATAGAATTTTTTTAAAGATTTATTTTGTCAACTTATATATTTATATATGTACTAGAGGTATTTGTGTGGTGTAAGCTACTTATGTCGACAGATATAAGTGGTATACAAAAGTGGAATGCCTAGCAGCAGAAGGCTAAAAAGATCGAGATGAGGAAAACAAAAACAAAGATAGAAAGGAATCGAGAATTGGAAGAATTATACGGAATGTGAAGGACAATTGATGGAAGATTTGCAAATGAAGTATTTAATATATGGTTTTCACACTCTAGCAAAGAACTGTAATTTTGCGTTAAATAATAAATTAGCTATCACCATCTGTGTTTTAGTTCACTACATTCGTATCGATTATTTATTTTGCGTTTCGAAGATCACCTATTTTGAAGAGTAAAGGCTACCTTTATTTATGCGGAAAGAGTCGTGACCGGATTTTCGCATAGCAATTAATTAACGAAATCCTATTTCACCGCAATCAATTTATATATATATATATTACAATCCTTTCATTTACCTCCCACTAAAGACATACGTGTCATAAGTTTTTTAAAGTGAACGGATTGTAGTTAGCAGTAGGAACCATTATGTACGTTTATTTAAGCTGTGTCGGTAGGATATATCTACATCTCTGTGTTGGCATTTACATTTGGATCAGAACACATTAACGTTTGATTAAAATTCCAAAACCTATCCAGTTCAAGTGGCCACTAACTTCTTCAACAGATAAGATATTAATATTATCGTTAGCAAGAGTTTGAAACATCCCATCGCTGATATTTAGGACTGAATTTTGATCAATCTTTGTTGGTATATTTATAGCCTGTACGAATACTAAATAGGACAAAAACTCCAATCCTCGATGTTACTGTTAACAATAATCCGTTTTTTTCCGAAACACTTGTGATACAGCGGCTAAATCGTATAGAATACGCATATGCCAACAAAGATTGATCGAAATTTAATTATGAATATCAACTACAGGATAATGAAAACCCTTACTAAAAATTATATATATATATATTCTTTAAACCATGAATTACCATCTTAAATTTACTGGTAAATAAGGTGTAATATAAATTTTATTGTTGATTGATTGACTGATGTATAGCTTTAGTTTGTGTAATAAATACTAAAGGTCCAATTTATTACTTATCTCAATAAAGTGTAATCTGTTTTAAAATGGATTTCTTATTTATATCAATTTTGTTTGTTGGTAAAATGAATGAATATATAGAGATAATAGGTTTTATTTTTATTCACTCACTTATTTAAAACATTAATTAGTCATATTAGAAAACCATAATTCACTTTAAATGACAATATAGAAAGTAAATGAAACAGTAAATAAAAGGTAATAATTATATATTTAGATACATCGAGTCTATTACCGTACTAGTAAAGATGGTTTAACAAAATAAATCACTGGTTTATTTATTATTTTAACCATATATAGACAATTATTTTAATAAAGTGATTTATTTGTAAAAACAATCATTCTAACATAATGAGTAACATTTTAAAAGTGTTCCATCTATTTCTGATGAATGGATGATCAAGTTACTTGAATTTACTTTCAGTCAGTAGATATACACTACAATCTGTCCTGTGTGTAAATGAATGTATAATAATTAATTTAAATTCTTTCTTTTTTAAAAAAAACCATTTTAAGGTTTTTTTTCTCGTAGGAACAAGTATTTTATTACCCCGCAAAAAAAAGGTTCATGCACTTAATACTTTACAGATAAATAGTCCAACAAAATTAGAAAAAATATCTTAAAAAAATTTCTTTTCTTTAGGTACAAAAGTTACAAATTCGTGACTGTATGTGAACAATATTAATAATTTGAAAATAGTAACTGATATTTCATAAGTTAGACATTATCTCTGGAAGCTATTTGATAATAATAATAATATTAATAATATAACACTGATATATCAATTTTTGTTGATCAAGAAGCAATGTAAAACGTAGTTGAACATATGACAATTTCCATATTTGTCATCCCATTAAATAATTAAAGTTGAGTCCAATCATACTGGTTTAATGAGAAATCATTTATTACATTAAATTATGTAGACATAAAATCAGATTTATCAGTATGTATTTAACAAATGACTACAATATTTTACGTATAAATAAAAGAGGTAAAGGAATAGTTTTCTATTAAATAAAAATCAGATAATCTATGAAAATGGTTATATCTGCAATTGTCGTCGCTGTTCTGTACGTATTATTTCTTTTATTTCCTTATTACCTGTACTTGACAATCGGGAACCATTGAGATTTTCACGACGCAAAGTAAGAACATGAAAGACTAGTGCAATAAAGATTTATTGACTCCACAGAAATACATTTACAAAGAAGTTTTGAAATCACATTATTATTAGATTGAAATAAAATAATTTATATACTGATTTTTGCACACGATAATATAATATATAGGGGAAAATATACTGGAAACATACGCTGAATATGATTAACTTGAATTGATATAAGAAATATGTGTCAAGCTGAAGGAAGCACGGAATACAATGGACAGCTTGCCTGCAACTAGATGGATGGATGACTAAGCCCTTCTATCCGATACACACGAACAAATGAAGGTCAAAACATCCAGTATAACAGACGCCTCTGCATCAGTAGGCCTTAACATACACAAGGAAAAAACAAAGATCCTCAAATAAAACACGGACAATACCAAACCAATCTCATTTGATATAGAAGCTCCGGAAGAGGTGGAAACTTTCATGTACCTGGGCAGCATTATCAACGAACATGGACAATCTGATCCAGGTATGAAGTCAAGGCTTGGCGAATCAAGGGCCGCGTCCCTACAGTTAAACAATATATGGAACTCAAAACAACTGTCTATCAACCAACATCAAAGTCTGAATCTTCAATATGAACGTCAAGACAGGTCTACTGTACGGAGCTGAAACTTCAAGATCTACCACAACTATCATCAAAAGGGTACAATTATTTATAAACAGTTGTCTACGAAAGATACTCACTGTCCGTTGACCGAATACCATTAGCAACAACCTACTGTAGAAGAGAAAAAACTATCTTCCGGCTAAAGAGAAAATTAGGAAAAAGCAACGGGATTGGATAGGATGTACAATACTGAAATCACCAAACTGCATGACGAGGCAAGCCCTAACTTGAAATTCTGAAGGGAAACGAAAAAGATGAAGGCCGAAGATTACAATACACCAAGAATCGGGAGCAGACATCAAAAAGATGAATAGCAACTGGAAAGGATTGTCCAGGACAGGGTTGGATTGAGGATGCTGGTGGATGGACTATGCCCCTCCATGAAGAGTAACAGGCGTAAGTAAATGTACTGAACCAAGTTTATACTGATCTGACACAGAAGATACTGACCCAAATAATGTTATCTTTTTATCCCGTTATATCAGAAACAACGTCCTGAAATCAAAGCAATTAATCACGCCATGATACATTTATTAGGAATAGAAACTTTCAACAGTGCAGTAATTACTACAATTATTAAGTTAATTAAAATAGAATTTTATCATTTAACTCATTAAAAAATTTGAAAAAAGTAAGGGCATTCATTTTATTGAATATTTTTAATTTCCAGCAAATTAATTTTGTGCAAACATGAATTGAGTGTTGTATACTTTTAGCAATAATCTGGGTAGATTACACTATTACACTTAATTTAGACGCTTTAGTCTATCCAGGAAAAATGACCTTAAAACACTTTATTTTGATATAATTGGTACTATAGTTTGATTTATTTCCATATTTAGAATTAATTGATCAGAATCCATCGAAGTATTTGTTAACAACTCAACAGTAAGGGATATTTGTGACCATTGGGAATTCCGAATTTCCTTAGTTATTTAGGCTTACATTAGTCAGTGATATAGTTCAAGATTGAATTAATTATGGACAAAATATCTATCCGACTTAACAGAAATAGTTTTCAGTGAAAAAAAACAAGTAAAAATTGTGAAATTCAATTCAAATGGGAAGTAAATAATTGGAAAAGGTTAGTTGACTGACAGCTTAATTAATTCAGCAATACGCTCAAAGAGAATAATAGCAAATACAAATATCATGCAAGGATGATGAATGTCAGAAAAATGACAACTGTTATTACAGCTTTTCATACAATACGTGAATAGATAACGTGAAGGAGATAATTTAGAGATTTAAGGAAACACAAGCTAAATAGTAATACAGTATCCAGAAATGAGAATAACACATGGAATATAGCACAATGATTATTGATAAAGTGATATCGACATTCTAGAAGGGACATAAAACAAAAACTTTTACGTTATTGGAGTCTTAATTATTTTACATAAATTTTTTTAAACATAAAGTGACTACCCCACTCTCATAAAAGATTGGTCGTTACTTTAATTAGCTAAACAGATTTCAGTTGAATAAACAATGATGAATGTCATGAAATGAGGTATTATGAAAATATTTATCTGCATAGACAAACATGATGTTGCATTTGTTCCACTGATACAACATATTTCATTTGTATGTATTAATTGCAATTAAAAAACATCACAAGAATACTGATCTACAGATAGAAAACTTTCTAAATCAGTAGATTATTTACATTATGAAAGCTAGATACAGAAGTTATTTTTGTCAAATCTAAAATCTCAGCGTGCAATGCTAAATTGTTATATATATATATAGACTAGCATTGAAGACCTGGAAGCAGTGGGTCACCATTTCGTTCTAGTATGGGACTCCTCAGCAGTGCGCATCTATGGTCCTGCACGTGAGACTCGAATCCAGGACCTTCGATCTCGACTCATGAATCGAATTATTAAAATTACTAGTCTCCACAAAACCCCCATTCTAATAATAATCATCCTGTGCTCACTAGTGACTGGCTTCAAGGAGTATTTCCTGCAGTTCTAGTGAGAGGCCGTGAACAGTAGAGTTCAACCGTACCTGTTGTGAAGCAGTTACCCACTAAAGATAATGTTGAACGGTGGTGCAATATCGTAGATTGGTTGAATTTAGACATTAACAATGTTGGACGCTTGCTCAGTGGTATAGAGGTTAAGCGTTTGCCCGCGAGACTGAGGGTCCCATACTAAGTCAAAACGGCCGTCCAGTGCTTCCAGGCTCTCAATGGTGGTCTAGCTTAGATCGACTCATTAATTCAACTATTGATATTTAGTTTTTGGGCTGCATAGTATTCATGGTAGATATATAGCAGTATATTATGTTTAAACTAATGAGACTATATGGCTGAATCCATCGAATAATTTGAAAACGAAAACACTAATTTGAGATAAACCATTTCAAACGTCGGAAAGCTATTTTATATGCATTTTGTTATTGAACAGTACACTGAAATAGTAGGCATGAACTAAATGTCGTTGTGACTGATATGTAGAAGAGACAAAAAATAACTAGAATTTATCTCAGGAAGCATCGACACCCGCATTCCAAATACTATTTCTGTCACAGTTTCAACTTTGAATATTTATTATATACACATGAAAAATGAGATACATTGGATTTTCCAAAAACAGTTTAAATAAATAACCTCCATAAGCAAAAGAAATCTCAGAAAGTTATACAAGTTACAGATGATATTTATCGACTATTTTTAAAATAAAGACACGTAATTCCTATTCTGCCTTGATTCCTTATTGAAAATAATGGACCTCAAAATATCTACAAAAATAGTAAACATATTCATGTTAAAGATAAATCTAAAATTTACTTGTCTTTAACAAATTCTTAAATGTACAACTGAGAGTCACCATTAAAAAGTATGATAACATGATTTTAATGTAATACATACACAAGTTTATCTTTAAAATGTAATAATGGTAAAACTGAGTAGAAAGTAGATTATGAAGACTCAGACTCAGCAAATTTTGATAACACTTTTTTAATTACAATTACTTATCATCAAATGAAAACCATTTCAAAATTATTATCAGTACACTAACTACCAATGTAGTCTTAGGAGAAGAATATGAATCGTTGCTTTTTTCTAAATAACAGTTAAATCTGTCGATAGATAAATTATTTTATTTAGTGAGCTTAATTTATTTAACAACGTACTGATACGGAATTCATTTGTAGATAGACGGAGATACATGACGTGACTGATTATGATATTGATTAGGTTGACTTTCTAATAGTAACCAGATTGAGAAAGCAATAATAAATCTGATTGGTTAATTGTACATGTTACGTAGTAAAGTCAGACCAATAGTGAGTAGGTTAATTATAAATGACATTTAAAAAAAGCGCATGTCAACAGTATTGATCAACTACTAACTGGAACTGTGATATACTAAATCGGGTCTGTTTTGATTTTTGGTCTGCTATCAGAAACATCATATAGATTTTAACAAAGATAAGTTCTGAAAATGAAGTCCCTTTAATCAATCTGCACAATACAATGGGTAAAAGGTATGATAACTGACTAACATTCACACATGGGAGTGAAATTTGATTGTCAAACCTGTTTAATTGGTGATGTACAATAACAATATGCATAACTGAGAAATAATTTTACTGACTAACATCAAAATTTGGTAATACAATGGTTGGAAGGAAAATATGAGCTGTTCTTTAATAGGGAAATAAAAGATTCATACGACTAATAATATTTCTGGAAAAAATTCTAACAGTCAATGGAAAGGAAATTGTTTACAAAAGTGAATCTTTAAAAGTGAGAAATGACCTACTTTAAAATTATTGTGATAAAATATGGAACTCTTCAGTAGTTTGGTTGGGATGGTATAAACAATAATGTTACAAAGGTTAATGTTAGTAAGTTTTCGAGAAAGAAACGGATACAGAAAAGAAGTAGGTAATTTGTTTTCATATCTACTCAATATATAAAATGACTGGTTACTAAATCACTCCAAATAAGTTTTACTTTTATCTGAGCCCGCTGATGAAGTTTGTATGATCATGGGGAGAATTTAAGAACATGTTCGCACATAATATGACAAGAAGTATAATCTATAAATAAAAACGCTAAGATACAAATACCACAACCTTTTTTATGGTAGCATAAAACACATTTAGGTGTTTAAGATCATTGTGATTATTTTGTTGTACTATCGGAGTAAATTATTATGCATGTATAAAAATAAAATAGATTGCACATTTTGCAACAAATATCCTCAAAAGACTTAATCTAAAATCTTACTCATCTTTACACTGAATTGGACATCAGCATTCAAAACGTAAAAAATGTTCTATAAGAATTATACTTTTATGTACTGGGAGAACTACGCCTTTGATTGTATATGCATAGTTTTCATGTGTAAATCCACCGCATAATGGTAATCCAATTTGTAAAATTAAGTTGTATAGAAGTACGTTCGTTAACTTTTAAAAATGATCAGGGATACTTTTTCAATCACAACTCTTGGTAAAATTAAGGTTTAACGATTGGGTCTCAAAGAACATGTGGTAGAAAACCAGAGAGATAAATCACAGGACTCCAGTTCAAATCTGAAGGCTGCTGTTATCCATGTAGATATCAGTCAGCATTACATGTAAGATGTTTATTTAATTATAATAGAGAATATACATTTCGCTAATTAGATCACACTAAATCAGAAGAGTTTATTATTCTGTCAAGCTATTTCAGTTTTGTGTTATCAAGCACCTAGGACAGTTTTGTTTAACATACTGGTTCACTGATCAATTTTATTTCTGGTGATTACATGAAAAATTATTTAGGGCTTTAGTAATGTCCATTATAAGTAGACGATTAGTAAATGTATTAATGAATTATAGACATAACACAATGATATAGTTAGTTATGAATGCAAGACTTTCAAATGAATGATATTTTTCGCTTAGATTACTATTACACTCTATTCATGTAAACAATAATATTTATATGAATATATGAGAAAATATAATTAACTCAATTTATGAATTACTAATCAAACATAGAGTAGATTGGGTAACTAATTGTAATAAATAGGTAGTGGTTATGATAAATAAAACGTTACAAATACAGTTTGATGACAAAATGATTGGTATTAAAATTTAGCCATGTAGAGAATACAAAAAAAGGAGCACCACAGTGCGTAGGTTTGAGTTCTCACATTTCTCAGAATCATTAAGATAGAAAGTCAGTAAAAAGTAAAACTCACCAAAGAGAAGAGATCGAATAAATTTTTCTCGACCAAAAGAAAATAGAATATATTTTCTAATCTTTGACAAATCTAGGGTTGTTAAGGTAACATCTTTAACCCTTAGATTCCAGCATTCAAGTTAATGTAGTCAGAGCAAACAACTGTTTCTCAGACAACTCTTACTAAAAGCTGATGCCTACATGAGTTATTATAAACTTATAGGTTTTATTTTATATTGAATCGCAACTCAAAGTAAAACTACGTACTTTTTATTTTTTAATGTTGATAACAGATACACTGAAAATAAATTTCAGGTTTATCCATCGAGAGAGAATTTTGCAGCACTAGTGACGGAATTCTTTTTCTGTTCGGAATAATTACCGTATAATATGCCACTGAATCTAATGTTACCTGGTTTTTGGATGTTTCTTAGTTAATGTCGCTTAATGGTGTAAGTTACCTTTTAGTTATGCTAAAACTCCACAGAGCCGCTTAAATATATACCAAAGTAAACGATTTTTATCATTTTAAACATTGAGAACAATATTCGAAAGTATACTTAAAATATAATTTACTTACTACAACAGTCGGTAAAACCACAATGTGCGCTAATTTTTGAAAAGTTCCAAAAGCACTTAACCAAGTACGATTAACCGATCGAACCACATTGTCACTCCACTGGTATACTTGACTGAGAATATAAGAAAATAATATATAGTTATGATTGATAGAACAAAACGTTTATTATTGTTAAGCTGAATATTTTCCTGATTGTAGTGAACAAGAACACTAGTGGGGACAATCGAATGTATTTAACACAAAATTACAGGACTTGTTAATAAAATCTAACAATCATAAAGTAAATGCTTAATTTGCAAAATGTCCATCAATTGTCCTAAAATGACTCAGACTTCATTGTTGTTGCATTTTTATACAAATTGCATTCTGTTTCCATTCTTTACTATTCGATCCTCTTGTCTCTCTGCTGCCAGACCTTCTGTTCACGACTAGCATCATATACTACTAATGTCATTAAATGTAGCACATACCACATGATTAAGTGACTTGTTAAAATCGCAACTTTTGATTTTCATATGTAGGGATATATATTGAAAAATAATCATTCATCATTCTGACATGTTTTACTTTCCATGAAAATATACTTAATTTTATGACTCAAAATGAATGGGTATTATAAATTGTAAAACAGAACGTAGCAGTCTTTACATTGTTTATTTAAAATTAGTTCAACATTAACTTAAACTATTTACTAAACAGCAATTTCACTCTTATCCATAATTAAGTATATCAACATTGAATTATAAGATAACTCAAGCTTAGATAAGCTAATTGCTTTAGATATGAATCTATCAAGCCAAAAAATGAACGGAATGATGAATTATAGAAAAAAAAATTTCTTAACAAAAAACCTTAACCAGAGTAAATCTAAAGTGTACCTATAAAAAAAAAGAATGAAAAAAAGTTGATGAAACAAGTTTTAGAACTTACTTTGTATGTAAATAAACTTTTGTTAATATATAAAATTTTAGTATAAAAAACTTGAATTGTTTATTGCTAGTTTATTTGAAAATAATTAATTTAGGGATATTTAGATTGTAAGTAAAGAAAACAATATGTTTATTAAAAGTATAATAAAAACAGTATTATTGTAATAGTTGACGGTTACTCATTTTCTTAGTTTCTTAGCACACTTTTTTTTTGTAAATTAAATGAAATCATCTCGAGGTTGTTTTTCTTTTCTTCTTTTTTGATTAATTTTCTCTTCATTTTAAAAATGACTATTTCATACATTAAATTATTTGTATATGTAATTTGTTTATTATTTATAAGAGGTGAACTAATAAATTATTCTAAATTATACTACTATTGAGTCAATAATTTTTTTTCATTCAACAAAAAAACAAAATAAACAATCATGAAATCATTTATTTGAGAAACAGGGACAATTTTGTGTAGAATTACCCAATTTTTACGATTATAGTTTGTAATTAGTTGTCAGTTATAAAATATACAACTTGGGGATCAGTCGTCATTAGAGTAAATAGTTAATAATAAAATAAACAAGTATGTTCGAATTAACGATAAAATAATGATTTCATTCTTTTCGACTAGAACATCTTTATTTACAAATCATCTAATGATATTAATGTTAGTTGTTAAAACTGGGTACTGTATAATTCATAAACATTCGAAAAAAACGTGTTCTGAACTGGATTAACAGTTCAAATATCAATAACCTTCAAGAAGGATCAATGTAATTAACGAAACTTAAAGATAAAGTAAATATTCCAAGTTCTACTCTCAACCAAATACAAAATATCCTGATGACACTTAAGATACAAACATTTGAATGTTTATAAAATGAGATTATTTACTACCAGAACTTAGTAAACTAAATTCAGTAGATTAAAAACACTAGTTATACTTAACATTTCGTATCATGTAACCGAATATATATATATATATATATATATATATATATATATATATATATATATATATATATATACGGGAATTTGAATCAAGTTAAAAGCGAAGTTGAATCGCTGTAAAATTCGAAATGGCTACTGAATGAGCTACAAATCGTAGTTTGCGAATCAAAGTTCAGTTACACTTTACCAATGAGATATAAATGAAAGATATATTACGGTGGATATTTGATCAAACTAGTTATATGGCCAGTTCACTGCTTTCCGATATGCCACAAGTGTAAATCACAGGCTGATCATTATTTGGACTATCGGTTCACAGTTGAAGTTACGAGTCGATCTAAGCTAGACCACCATTGGAAACTTGGAAGCTATGGGACTCCTCAGCAGTGAGTATCTACGACCCCGCAAGTGGGAGATTGTTCGATTGACAGATTAGGGTTCATACTTAAAAATAGCAATTAAATTTGAAAAATAATCTGACTTATGACAGAAATTTGATCCATGACCTCATACATATTTTTTTATATTTAAACTCAAATCTCAGCCTTGTAAAAATGCAAACTCATGAGAAAACTTGAACTTTATCTATTTCACTAATCAAATACTTAGATGAGTGGATTTTTAAATTGTTATTTACTGAAAAATTGTAAACTCTGAGTGAGTATTTTTCCTTCGATTCTTTGTTGCTAGAAAACTATGAAAATTGCTGATCGACATTTTTATGTTTAGTTGAAGGCGATAGAACTAATTACCTAAGTTATTTGAATTTAGATATTTATGAGATAATGATAAACGATAAAACTATGATTATGTGACCTTCGTATACCACCTAATTATTTCTAGAGCAAGTATTATATTAGAAAATCAGGAGGTTTATTATTATTAACACCGACAAATGTATATACATTTTCCACAGACATTTTGAGTAACAGGATGAGAGATTAGATTTTAACAAAACAACATACCCGTTCTTTCCTGAATACCAGCCTAGTGCAGGTTTAAATGTTATTGGATCACGTGGTGTTAATGGTCGATTTTGTTTGTCTCTGTAGAATGCAAACAAACTTGTAGAGAATCCCTACAAAAAAGTATAAAGGTTGAAGTCGGATAAGGTTAAAAATCAAGTAAATGAGGACAGTAATCGAAATAAACATATGAACTGTTACAAGGTTTAATAAAAACCAATCAAGACAGCCAGACCAGCGTCGATCATAAGTAAAGAAGTCTGAAAAGCGTACTTCCATTTGAAGTTTATGCTGATTGTGGATTCCAGAAGAACGATGAAGGCTTCATGAATAAACTACTCCACTAAAAAAGTTACGAAGTATCGTCATCCCTAAAGCACTTACGTTATTGTTAAGAAGGAAGTACAGGCACCATTCATATTGTTCAACATAAAAGTGATGACAAACAGTCAGTCATACTACTGAGACTCATATCAACATATAATGTTGAATGAATGTCCCAACTTTTAATATAAATGGATTAGAACTTCGGATGGTAATGTAACTAGTTAGTGTTCACAATTTAACACGAGAATCTAAGTAACACATAACTCCTAAATGAAGATAAATATGCTTCAGTGATAGTGGCTAACTTAAGTGACGGAAAGATGTTCTGAAGATTTTTTTATTTGTTTTTTCTGAATATCAGAGGCCAAGTGGTTTAAAATTGCACTAATACATTTAGAATCGGAAAAAACTGTTTATAAGTTTAACATCTATCAAGCTTCATGAAATAGCTTAAATCCATTTACGTATTAATGAATGATCGCTTACTAGTGAATGTAATATTTCATGCGTAGCAACAAACAGTGAACGCATTTTATCGTTATATTCATTACTTAATGTATCAGGACAGAAATTGATGTAGCCAGCCACAGGGCTAAAAGAAGAAACAAAATAACGAAAATCTGACAAGACAGGAAAAAAATATAGCCTTTCTACAGACTAATTTAGAGTTTATCAACAAAACATTTAATGGTTAGTAGATATTATTTACTCGGCTTTTAGACATTCCAGTCTAAAATTAAACTGGTCACAACTGGACAAGTAGATAAAATAAAACCTCTTACGCTATGAATTTCGCATTAAATGGAGCATAAAAGCGAGTAAAAATAAAATATTTGAATATGAGCTGACTGTCTTAGTAATTTGGCCAGTACATAATTTATTAGTGGAACGGTGACTTTGTAGTTATAGCATTTATTTATTAGCAAATAGATCTCAGATTCTCTTATAATGGTTTCTGTGGACTGTTGGTATCACACAAACAGAGTAAATTGAACTGAAGTAGATGAACTTGCACACAGTTAATGAGATAATATCAATTATTTAAAACATTTACACACTAACTAACAGTCAGGCCATGACCAAAATGAGGGTACTGACCTCGGTAGTAAACCAATTCTACCTATTAACAAGTGAATTGTAGCTTAAAAAGCTGTGAAAAGATACAATAGTACCCTATGTTTTGACTCCAATTTGTAGAATTAAAAAGAAACAAGTCTGTAAATCACATTTGTCCAGTAAATAATCTACATGCACTCTTTTGAACACAGTAAGTAGATATTAAAATTTTATAGAAGGAATTGGATGCTGTAAAAAGTGACATAAGATGCTTGGTTAAAATATTAAGAATTCCGATTAAAACAAGATTATATTTTTATAAAAAAGTTAATCTACCGATCAGTATTAGCTTCTAGCTGACAGTGTGCAGCATAACCTAGGACTTTTGCAGTATTACATCTACGTGTTCTAAGCGATGAAATATAGAGTATGAAGTTGGCACGGTATATACCTTCGCCCTTGTGACCTGAAATCATTGAGGTTCCATTATAAATAAACCTGCACTGCTGATAAAAACAAGTGAAAATTTTCAATAAATAAAAAAAGGCTTTTTACATTTAAATGTGACACTGGAATGTTTATAGGTCCACATTTTGTCCATTCCACACAACCATTGACACAAAATGTCAAGAGTTGATTATCAAAAGTCATCAACTTTGTAGCACCATCAACACAAACTCTAGAAACGCTAAACGATTAAATCGCTTACACTTACCTGTCAAGTGTTAATCTACTGGGCACGGTATGAGAATGACGTAACAGTAGAGCATCTTCCCAAAACTCAATTGCTACTTCAATTACATCTCTCTAAGAAGAGATATATCAGTTAGGCAAAACCTACCTTAATATCCTGGAAATTTTTGAGAGATTTAATTGACCTATCATAATGGGTATGAATTCTTAATTCTGTTTGTGCATTACGACGAATAAGTTTTTGCACATCCGAAGACACCACATGAGTTACAACTTCAGAGTGATTTATCACACCATGGTGACACATTGTAGAAAAGCGATCATTTCTCAATCCACTGATAATAAGATGAACCCCAAAAATCGGAAATAGAATAATATCTTTTATTTTCCACATAACACTTCATTCAAAGGTTATGAATAAGTCCGCCAGAATTGGACTGAACTACCTATCTCAAATTACGGGATAAAGAGGTTATGAAAATAGAACCAATAGTTAATTTAGCATTGAGAGCATTCAGGGGTTAGAAAAAATAACATTATTTACTGAGACTGAAATTTATTGGACAAAAATCCGAAGGACCATTGTGGTTTGGATGGTTTAGGGACTAGATATAACAAGACCAAACTAGAATTTGTCATTTCATTAATAAACTGTGCAGTAGGAATGTTAGTGAGAGGAGTGGCAATGACTCAAGTAGAAAGCTCCAGGTAGACAGATTTTCGATCATTCGCATAAGATACCATCAGACAAAGAGGTCATAAATATACACTCAGTTCAAATAGAAACTACCAACTGCCTATGCATAAACCTCCAAAGTTTGTCCACTAGAATGAGTGGGTTGCGGGGGTTACATAAATCAAATAATGTTGGTCTCACAAGCGCAACAGAAATGTGGATAACTTGAACAATTGACTAAGAACTAACCATAGTTGGCATGTCCTTTTTATGAGACTACAGAAACGTGGGGTCCTGCTCTATACTTACTGCTTAGAGGTATTTCATCTAAACGCTCAAGGGTTTGATTGCTTCAACGGATCTGAAAGATTACTTAACACTAAAAGGTGTTTGATTGTAATTATTTATTGAAAACCTATCGCCGACGCCAAATGAGACAACCATATTTTGGAAGGACCAAGTCATTACTTTATATTAGTACACGAGCACATCTGAAGCTTAAGAGAATTCAGTCATTTAAAGTCAGCTTCACTAAATATGTACATTGAAGGAATAACCAGGGACCGTCGCTCTTAGTCTGGATCTTTACTAATGAAACATTTCCATTTAGTAAAGTGATTCTAGAGTTTTTAAGTAAGGTGATATACACTCCAATCTTATTCATAAGGACGAACTAAAATGACCTGTGAACAATAGATGATAAGATTTAAAACAATTGAATATTATAGCATTAAAGGGCAATCTTAAACTGATAGAGTGAGAAGCTAATACTCTGTCTGACGCACTAGGAAATCTTGGACAATATTATCTAATGTACTATCAATCGGTCTGTCCCGCAAACAGCTTCGAAAACTTTGAGACAATTCGAGGTTATATGACGGAGCATTTTTAAACAGGTACTCAGTTACCAGTGGTTCACTAGTTTTCATATTTAAGTAATTAGATACTTAACACCATGATAAATTATTGATTTTTTCATAGCTCAGGTATCTTACAAAATGTTGCTTTTTACTGGTGGCGCAACATTCCAGAGGAAAATCCACAACAAAAAGGGAAGGTTAGCAGTTTAGGGGAATCTGACACGCAAGGTTAGGAACACAACAGAAGAATAATATGTAACTTCGAAGAATGTGAAGTAACCTATCTGAATCACACTACAAGCTACATGTAATACTTAAATAATTCTTAGCAAGAAGTGTCCTTGGTATCAAAATACTTAGGTGTATTCGTACCTTAAAATCTAACACAATATTCCAGTTGTGACAAAAATGACTTTTGAGTCAAAATTGCACTAGAATTTTTGAGGCATGTTCTCAAGTAGTTTTATTACGAAAATATCTTGTTTGGCTTTGCATGGAATCTAAAAACAACGTTTTGTCCGTCACTCCGAAAGGATAAGAATATATTGGAGGATATCTTAACTCCCCAAGCAACACAAAAAGGGGAAATAAAGCGGACGAAAGCGTAAATAAAGGGGAAATGTCGCTTTTCCCCCTTACGTCGTGTATTTGGGGGAAATTTGTCGACAATTCTACGTAACGCACAGTGTTTGAATGAACCGCATCCGGAACTGCAGTTTTCATAAACTTCGACAAATTAAGGGCCGATCGGTCCACAAGATTGGTTCGTGGTCCAGAAAATCGTCTTGGCAACGGGTACACCCAGTCTTCAGTCTTCAGTAATAAGGATAGTAGGTTGATGAATCTGTGTTAATCCTGACACACTGCTTTTCAGTGAAGGTCCAGCTTCTCCTTGAAAGTATTCACCCATTAAAGGATGGCAATTGCCATCCTCTGAAATATTTACTGTGGTTTAGTCTAAACGCAAGACAAATGGGGAACATTGAAAAGTTAGAAGCACAAAAAGTGTACTATTAACTTTCATTGGTAGTCAAGTTTTGTGATTCCCTACTATGCAGTAGGAAATCCATCAAGTACATAATGAGTAGTTCTAAAATGTCAGGAAAAATAATATATCACATATTTTAACTAAAATATTTACGACTAGATGTGTAAGATTACTTGACAAAGAACACAAAACTAAGCCTCATCAAAATATGCGTAAACATATAACTATACCTGTAGTGCCGAAAAGATTGAAATTTCGCCACAATTCGGAAATATATAACTCAAATGATCACTTAAAATGTCATTTTAATTGGTTGATTTTTGATGTTAAGGTTCAGAGATTTAATTATTGTAGAAGTTTGTTTGAAAATGTTTTCATTATACCCGTTAAATCAAATCTTCCAGCACGTGAGAAAGGTGGATCGTTGAATGTCCAGAATGTTCTTATATCTGTATGAGAAAACATGGTATTCGAAAAGACTGGGAAAGTTACCATATCCGTAGTTGGGTATCCAGGCTCAGGAACGGATGTTCGTCAACATGTTGGGAAATCTTGTCTCATAAACCGTTTTATGGCCCCATACAGGTTCAATGAAAACCACTTGTCAATTTTAAGTTTGTCAGATTATGATAGTGAAGTCATCTGTTCAAGCCACTGGCTATATTGGGGAGACAGTAGTGTGAATGTTAACGGCTGTAAACTACATATCCAAATAATTGAGCAGTGTGACTTTGTGGATGACCATCTTTTCCAACCTCTTTTCGAACCCAGACCATATGCAGAACGATGTTTGGACTTTAAAATCACCTTGCATTCAAGAAAGTTGTGTTACGTTTGTAAGGAGCAGCTTGGGCATGAGTCGGCTTTTCCTCAGGTTTATCTTGAACCCACCACTTTATTTGTTGATGTCTTTGTATGTGTATATGACATGTCATTATGTGGTCCTTCAGCTCTGCAACAGGCTGCCTTTTTAGGTCATGTCATCACTCGTCTTTCGTCTCTTAAGTTTCCAGTGGTTGTCGCAACATCTAAACATGATATGAATGTTTCTAGTCAGGCCTCAACTCTCTTTAAAGATACACTCAGTGGATGTAAAAAACATTGGATGAAAAATCTGTGTATCGTAGAAACGTCTTCACGTCTAAATGTAAATGTCAAAACTGTTTTTCAATGTGCTGCAGTTTTTGGACATCACAAACGTGCTAATAAGTACAAACTCCATACTGGCCTTTTACGTTGTTCACTCAGAAAATCATCCAACGAACGCAAACCGTCCCCTATGTGTTTCGGAAAGTCAGTGTGGTAAGTCTCGTCAATAATTGATTAAACTTTGTTTAATAGGTGATATGGTAATTTATATGTTAAGTCCTCCCATATTTCATTTCTCAATAATTAACCGATTATTAGAGACTGTCAAGACAAATAGTAGTTCAAGGAAAGTGTACCTACTTACCCAATAGTCAAAATATTGTCTACAAAACCATAAAGCTTATTATTAGTTCATGTGAATTGATCTTTAGTGGTGTCTGTTTATTACTCTAAAATATAGTATGGCTATAGTGTTTGCTACTATCACTTTACGATTTAATTGTATGAACAGTCAAAATTATTAAGCACATCAGCCCTTAGCATCAGTGATATTCTTCGAAGTGTTTGTTGGGATACTGTTAGTTGTCCATGTTAGTATGGTTTTTTGTTATCTTCAAGTTGTTTTAAATCTACACAATTGATTGGCACACAAATAAAACAATGGTATTTTCCAAAGGCTACGTAAAAATTTCATGATTTCGTGCTTTGATCTATTTAGGGGCTACTATCGTCTATCATATGTTACGTTTTTGTGCATTCTAGCTAATGGAATGTTAATTTCTTAACGCTTTAACCTAAGTATGCGATGAAGCATAATGATTACTATATAGGCGGATAAAATGCGATATTCCTTTTCTTAGGTGTTCAGAACTTTTAGAAATATATTCCGTACTCACTAATAGTGAAAAAAGTTTTTCTGCAGGCTCTATAAAGTTCATCCCTTAGAACTTTGCTTTTGAGAAAGGTGGAAATAATTGGTGTGATCGTTTCCATCAGGTTAGTAGATACGTGAGATCCATCTAAGGGAATTGGAAAACCCCTATCGCAAACCAATGGTGCACATAGGCTCCAGGATCCTGAGGGAACAAATGGCCTATGAACCTATTGTTCTCCACCGGCTACCATGAGACTATCTAATGTCACTCCACTGCCTTATGGATTAGACCTTTAGGTCAAAGGCACGGGTATTGGCCCCTTAAGAAAAACACCTCCTTCGGTTAGGGCGCTCAGACAGTATTCCAGTCCTTACACAAATCGAATTTGTGTCGAATAGATATTTGGTGCCTGCTTGTACCAATATTTGTGTGTTTTAATCGATAAACGTTAGTATACCAATAGCATTCCAAGCTGTCATCATTTCTTCAACAATATATTTATCACCATCCTTGGAACAAAACTAAATTGTCTCGTTTTGAGCAAGTTAATGGTACTGTTTATATAAAACCACCCGGGCTCATTGAAGACTGTAAGTATGGCTTTCTCGGAAAAGGCTATCAACCATCTACCATACGAAATGCTTTTAAGTTAGAAATAATACATACTATAGCCCACATAGTGGGTGCAAAAATAATTTTAGTTTAAACATGTCATCAGTTGTTTTAAAATATTGATGTCCATTATGTTGCCCAGTGTACGCAAAATATGTTAACAACTGAATCCCGTTATAAACGTTACATATCAACTGTTTTTACACTGGTTAATATAAAGACCTACTTGGTTTATTTTCATATTTACTGAATAAGATTTCAAACAAAATATTATGCTTTATTTCATTATAATATGTGATAATATTTTCGAAGCTTTATTTGGTCATTGATATTATTTCAATATGTCAGATTAAGTGAATAACCAAGCTCGAGATTATAGTACTCAATATTTCCACTGTAGTCCCAAATATATCTTATTGCTAATTTAAACTTTTCGTACCTTTTGGATGTCTTAAATTCTTTATTCTTATAGAATCTCACCGCGGTTTCCACATAAGTACCTCTATTTACTTTCATATTTCTTCTAGGTCTAGTATACGTTGGGTTCAATATGGTACCAGTTCATGTGATACAAACGTCCATTCGATTAGCAGCGAATCTCCAAATGTTCGACATGTATCTTATTTTCCTCCACTTGTACAGTCTCTCACATTTCCTAAACAGCATAATAAACTAAGAATTCCTGAACGAATCATTTTACCACAGGTTTGTTAAATTAATTTTTACCAATAGTTTCGTGGAAATTGTTATGCCATGTTTTCTTGTTGCTCTTATCATTCTTAATAATTTCATATATTAGTTGATTATCATTATTTTCTTCAACAAATATTCTATTAATATCATGTTTCAAGTGTTCATCTTGTATTTTCGACTACGTTCTAACCAATACTCACATTTTTCTCAGTTTTGCACTATATTTGTGTAGTAAGTCTTTTTATTCATCTTGTGTATTATTCTAGCCTATCATTCATCTAACTACTCAGTGATTAATTTTCTACTAAAGGCTTAGTTATTGGTTTGGAATACACAGACAGTCTAGTCCGACTAAGTGAAGATACTGATGTTATGTAGTCTTCTGATCTCCTTGACCGACAATACAAGCATGCTTAGAATGCGTTTCCCTCCTTTTAGGTGCATATTTTTGCTTAAACTGTCCATTTTATATTACTACAAGACTTTAAAATGTGGGCGTGTGGGCAAACTCCAGGTTTTGATCATTTATTTCGTCGAAGCATTGCTCTTGTATAGTGAAACGACCAAGTATGCAGTATTGTGGTTTCACCCAGAGTACTAGGCGATGGTAAACCGGTCGATACGATATTGAATCTTCAACTGGGATAGTTTGGACCTGTGTTACCTATGCCTAACCATTGGCTACCTCGACGGTGGATGTTAGCTGATGTTGGAAGAAAGCTAGGGGCAACAAATTTTAGACGTGACACCGGTCCATAAACTTGTTGACCGTTAATGTAAACCATATTGGTAAAGTCAGACAATCTGGTTGGTGTCTGCATGCTAAAAACGATTAGTGGCTGGATTCGTCGGGCGATATGACTCAGTCACGATCGTGCAGGTATATTCGCTCTTTGGTTTGTGCTACATATGAGGTTCTTATATTATTTTATGCATACTTACCTGTCCTATCTTTTCAAACTTTGTTCCTGATGTTTGATTTTCATCGTTATCATTAATACTATTCTATGTCGACTTTTTTACTATTTATCTCCTGACCGTTGTTGCTACCTTCACGTGGTGGTCGGGCTTGCCTATCGTGATGAAGCAACCGAGCTATACTGGCTGGAACAACCGTTCCTCAAGGTCCTACCATGTCAGACAGGTCGGTTGAAGAGCGGTAAGACTAAAAGCAACAAATCCAAGGTCCGAAGGCGAAGTCGTACTGCTGACTGTACAGCGGTGTGACGGCAGTAAGGCGTTCCCTTCAGACAACCAGCATAACAGCGATACTTCCTTCCTACAAGGAGGGGTGTGTTTAGAAAAGTTTGACCGTAAGAATCCACACAGCGCCTTATCCCATGGATATCCGTCTCCGACGGTAAGGTCTCAACAAGTACAGAGCTAACACAAAAATTACTCACGAAAAGGTCTCGTATGACCGACCTCAAGCAGTTATCTCTTGGGTAGTGTGGTCAAGCTCTCAAGTCACTAAGACCACCTTTAATCGAATTTCGTTTTCAGGTACCTCCAGAAGAATTCTTCCACGGTGTGGTCAGCCGGGAAGTGACAACCGCCGTCATACCTCTAATAGCACTCAAGATCACTGTATTCATAGTCAACTTCCCTCTTCAACATCATTATCCGTCATACATCGACTTAATTCTAAACTTCCTCTCTTGGCTTCCCCAAGTGTCACCATAGCCAACGATTCTAGTGCGTAAAATACTGTCCCTGGTCTACTGAAACCTCGCTCCAAACTACACGTTGGAGCCTTCAACGTACGCATTCTATGTCAAATCAGCCAACAGGCCTCCTTGGCTAAAACCCTAGAATCTCGTACCATTGATGTATGCTGTGTCTCTGAAACACGCATACAGGATCCCAGTGTGGTCATTTACTTGACCTCACCTCGGCAAAACGGAGAGCCAAAGAGATACACCCTCGGTGTATCTGGTGACCCGACGGCCATTTTTTGTGGACTGGCAGGAGTAGGCATAGCACTAAGCATGAAGGCGGAACAAGCACTGCTAGAGTGGATCCCGTTAACAGTCGTTTATGTTCTGTTCGGTTAAACGGCTCCGTAAGAAGTCGGAAGGATGGGGGCACACGTCGTTACCTTTTTGTCGTTTCTGCCTACACTCCCACCGACTGCAGCTTATATGAAGTGAAAGATGAATTTTACAGAAAGCTATCTGAACTTATTCAGAAGGTTAAACGTTCAGACATAGTACTCGTAGCAGGTGACTTTAATGCCCAGATAGGTAGTTTAAACCAAACAGAAAGGCATTTAGGTGGGTATTTTAGTATTCCGGCACAACGAACAGATAATGGTGATCGTCTGCTGCAACTGTGCTCAGACAATCGTTTATCTTTATTAAACACAAATTTTAAGCATAAGGAGAGACATCGTCTAACATGGCGACCCCCTACACCAAACCAACGATGGACTCATATAGACCATATTGCCATCAGTCATCGTTGGAAAGGGTCGTTAGAAGATTGTCGTTCATTCTGGAGTACCTACTTGGACTCCGACCACGCCCTAATACGGGCACGCATCTGCTTGCGCCTCGCTGGACGCATAAAAGCCACAGTAAAAAGACCCATTAGAACTGAATTGAGTAGCGAGAAAACCAAAAGTAAGTTCCAGGAACAACTGACGTCACAATTAGGTAGTTCTGAAAACGAGGTTGACTCAGATGTTGCTTGGAAAGCTATACAAACAGCTGTGGAAACAGCAGTGACATCTATCAGTGATTTAAATCAAAGGATTACAAAGAACTAATGGATTTCCTCAATGTCTATTGCACTGATGGATTCTCGCAAACTCGTCTCATCAGGCTCTGAACACGATGAAGAGCGACAACAAATCATATCTAGGTTAACCAAAAGTCTAAGGAACGACCGTGAGCAGTGGTGGGCAATGAAAGCAAAAGAGATGGAAAAGGCGGCGACTATAGGGAACACAAGACAGCTTTACAGACTAATAAAAGAAACTGGAATTAATAAGTCAAGTGTAAGTCAGACTAGTTTGGAAAAAGACGATACCATCATCTGCTCTCAGTCCAGACGTTTAGAACGATGGGCGGAACATTTCAGAGAACAGTTCAGTTGGCCTTCAGCTACTCTACAACTACCCTCCATTCCCAGACAGTGTGAACGGGACATTGAAGTAGGTCCTCCAGCTCTAGCAGAAGTTCAAAAGGCTATAGTTAATCTGAAACGAGGAAGGGCAGCTGGTCCAGATGGATTGGCTCCAGAGGTCTTTAAGGATGGTGGTCCAATTTTAGCGATTAGGTTGACTAATATTTTAGCTAAGATCTGGGAGTTAGACGTTATTCCATCTAACTGGTCACAATCACTTATCGTCCCAATATATAAGAGAGGGTTAAAATCATCCTGTGACAACCATAGAGGGATTAGTTTAACTAATATAGTATCTAAAATACTAGCCTCGATAATTATCAGACGCCTAACTAAGACTCGTGAACTGTAAACACGAGAGAATCAGGCTGGCTTCAGACCTGGTCGTAGCTGCATCGACCACATATTCACCATTCGTCAGGTCCTAGAACATAGGCATACTTATCGGCGTCCGACAATGGTGGTCTTTCTTGACTTAAAAGCAGCATTTGACTCGGTAGACCGCGAGATTCTGTGGCAGTGTCTGTCATTGAAAGGCGTACCTCGGAAGTACATAAACCTTGTGAAGGCTCTTTACTCGAACACTACCAGTCGAGTGAGAGCTTATGGCGAACTGTCATCTGCTTTTGCAACCTCAAATGGTGGCCGTCAAGGCTGTCCACTTTCTCCATTTTTGTTTAACTTCATCATAGACTTATTGATGGAAATAACATTCGCGTCTACTGAACTCTCGGGTATTGATCTCCTTCCACGAGGTCCACTTATCGACTTAAAATACGTAGATGACATAGTCCTGTTTGGTGAAGACGCTGATAAAATGCAGAGTCTTTTGGTAGCACTGAGCAACGATGCCAGAATGTTTGGAATGCGCTTCTCTCCCTCTAAATGCAAGTTGTTGCTTCAGGACTGGTCTGCGTCAACACCTGAACTAAGGATAGGGAATGAAGTAGTCGCACGCGTTGACAGCTTCACTTATCTTGGAAGTCTGATCAGCCCTAATGGGTTGGTGTCTGAAGAAATCTCAGCACGGATTCGAAAAGCTCGTTTGGCTTTTGCCAACTTACGTCACCTATGGCGAAGGCGAGATATCCGTCTATCAATAAAAGGATGAGTATAGTGCGCAGCAGTCCGTTCTGTTTTAATTTACGGCAGCGAAACATGGCCATTAAGAGTAGAAGACACTCGTAAGCTACTAGTATTTGACCACAGATGCCCTAGAAATATTGCTGGCGTCTGCTGGGATCACCGGGTAAGTAATAGTGAGGTTAGACGCAAGGTATTAGGGAATGGTGGTAAATCAGTCGATGAGGTTGTGAATCTTCATCGACTGAGATGGTTGAGCCACGTGTTACGTATGCCCGAACACCGATTACCACGACGTGCAATGCTAACCGGTGTTGGGGATGGTTGGAAGAAAGTTAGGGGCAGCCAAACCAAAACGTGGCATCAGTGCTTGAAGTCACTAACTCCTAGTCCGAGCCATGTTGGTAGATGCAGACTACTTGGTTGGGGTCCGCGTAACTATCGTAACCAATGGTTGGAGACTCTTGGTGACATGGTTCGAAATCGATTACAGTGGCGTCGGTGTATACTCTCTCTGTCTTCCCTTAAACGAAGAGATTAAAATTGCTTCATATCTTTCTTTCTACGAACTAATTCTTTCTTCCTGTACTATATCCTTATTGCAATCTTTCTTTTATATATTACCACCTCTGAATTAACTACTTTTATGAATCCGGTGTCCATCTTGTTGTGTTAATGATGTATGGCAACTTGGACCGATGCATATATGTGCCTGGTCCTACATTGTAGCTGACTGACTGACTGACTTACTATTTATTTTGTTAATTTAATCTCATAAGATTAAAATTGGTCGAAAGTTATTTTTTGTTTCGTTGTGGTTTGATTATTTTGTCATAAATCAGCACAACCAAGTCTAGTATAGTATTTGTATATCTATTGCTTTTAGTTTACCACTTTCAGCTAATTACAGCTAATTATAATTCCTAATTACGTATAAAGTATTTCTATGACTTGCAGTACTCATTTTCGGATCACAACATTTCATCTCATCTTTTTTTCCGACTTGTCTTACTAAATTCATTTATTCTTTCTAATAAGATGATTGGCGTAAACGATCCAAATATTCCTATCACAAACCCCAGTTCACCCTTGGAAACGAAAACCTATCAAATGAACGCAAGTCTATTTCCTGATACCCATTTTCCTGAAAACAGTTCTTTTGTTCAAGACATAACTTTACCAAAAATAAGTGATGTATGTGATCTATCTGTCTTACCAACCCCTCCACCACCTCTTCTTTTACCTGGTCCATGCAGTCGAAGTTCTTTTGAACCAATCAATTCATCTTCCATTGAAACTCGTAAATCAGTAGCACTTCCTGCCAAATGTCCAGACTTATCTCATAACATTCCTGCCGGAAATCCGTTTGTAAAAATCTATGTACGTGGGCAAACAGAAACCTCTAATTGTGCCGCAGCAGCAATGCGAGACCTTTGTCCATTAGAATTCTACATTGATAAAGTAAGTTGATATCAACGTTGTGTTATGAATCCATGATTTTCAAACCATTCCTTACAATATAGGAATTACTTTAGCGTGTTTGTCGGCACTATTCCATGAATACTTGTTATATAGAGTAGAATGATCAGACAAATTGTGCAATCATGTTCATGGCTAAAAATGAACCGAATTGTTCGAAAAAACTGTTTCTATAGTCACTAGGCTATTTGACATCTTTCTTCACATGCCTTTCTGTCAAGTTGATGTTGACTGAAACCGAAACAAAAGTTACTGTTTAAACCAATATAAACCAAGCATTTCTTGTGTGTAAAATCGTAAATAATCATCAAATTTTAGAATTTTTCAGCAAGGACATTATAGATGAGTTGAACTTAAAAATAAAACATTTATCATTCAACTTATACAGAATTATGATTTTAATATATAAAGACTTCCTTTTCTGTTGCTGTCTGGTGGAAATATGACTTATTTATTCACATGTTTCCTTGATATACTTGTTCTTATCATGATACGATCCTTACATTAGAATTGTAAAATTTAGCTCAGCTGCATCAACCTACGATAATAGTATTTCGACCTATATAGATAAACTTTATATCTGAGTATATGATACTGCATGTTTTTTAATCATTCATCTGTTTATCAGTTCCTGATAACTCAAACTATCTCTGCAAAACTAAATTGCTTATAATAATAAATAACACATTTGTTAAATTTGCTTACAATTTTTATGTAGTCTTGGAAGTCTGATCAGCCCTTGTGGTCTGGTGTGTGACGAAAACTCAGCACGGATACAGAAGGCTCGACTAGCTTTTACCAACTTGCGTCATTTATGGCGTAGGCGAGATATCCGTCTATCAACCAAAGGACGTGTTTACTGCGCAGCAGTTCGTTCCGTCCTACTTTATGGCAGTAAAACATAGCCGGTAAGAGTAGAGGATATTCGTAGGTTACTAGTATTTGATCATAGGTGTCTTCGAAATATTGCTCGTATATCCTGGGACCATTGAGTAAGTAATGCAGTTGTTAGGAAACGGGTACTAGGTGAGGATGGCAAATCAATCGATGACGTAGTGAAACTTCATCAGTTGAGATGGCTGGGACACGTGTTACGTATGCCCAACGACCGACTGCCTCGATGTGCGATGTTTAGTGGTATAGGAGTAGGTTGGAAGAAAGCTAGGGGTGGCCAGACCAAAACATGGCACAAGTCCATGAAGTCACTGACAATTAGACTGAGCCATGTTGGTAGGTGTAGACTACTTGGTTGGGGACCGCGAGATGATAGCAACCGATGGTTAGAGACCCTAAATGACATGGCTCAAAATCGTTTGCAATGGCGCAGGTGCATACACTCTTTGTGTTCTCTCAAGTTTTGATCTCCTTATTCCTCCTTGTCTCTTTTTTTCTCTTCCCAAATTTATTTCACTGTGTTATACTCTTTAAATAACATCTCCAAACACTAATTTTCCCGACTACTGCTTATACTTTTATTACCTCTACCACTACGGGATTTGAATCGACCACTGCATCTCTGTGCTAATGTGGTGTGGCAACTCGAACTGATGTACGTACGTACGAAGGTCTACGTTGTTACTGAATGACTGATATGAAGCGTGTACTAATGATTCGTGTCCGTAAGTGTTTTATGTGTAAATTTTGAGGTAACATGCGTTTAGAAACAGACAATTGTTAGAAAAATACCATTGCAGAGTTAAAACACATTGATTCAAGTTGCTATACTTTACAACAGCCGCATAAAAAATCAATACAAATAATAGTTATTAAGGTAAGTCGAGAGAAGGAAGTATTGCGGTTTTCTCAATTAAGAACACAAAAAGCGATTTATTCTCCACTGGTGTGATCAACTTTTAAATATGCCATCTTGGATCTCTACTCACTTATTATTAACACTATTGCAAAGACCACAAAAATGTCTGAACCTTCATAAGTCATTCAAGCAAACAGTCAGCGGCTGCACTATCTACTTATATTTCCCAACCGGGCTTCTTTTAGTTTCTTTCTAATCTAATCATCTTCCAGTCAGTATTGTATCTAATATTGCGTATGGTTATATCGGGGCTTGTAGTAGGTTGTCGCGTGAGACAAATCCTCATTTTACAAAAGCCAATGTAGCCACAAAATTGACGTTTGACTATAACGGGTACCATACATGGTTGAAGAATGGTTGTATAAGTACTGTGGCGACTTAAATTAATTATCTATGGTTCTCAACTTCCATACAGGGCTTACTAATCATCGACGGCTGTCTAGTAAGCTCTGTTTGTACTAAAATTTTGTTTGCTGTGCTACGTTGTATTTGTTTGTGATGGCATAAGTTCATAGTTAACCAGATTACAACATCTTTTATGTGACATTAACATTGCTGTTGTGAGGTATCTGCTAGCTAAATTTAGCTTGTTCCTTTTGTGTTTGCTCAATATGTTCGCCGATTATATACAAAACTTCTAAAAAAAGATTTAGATGTCTTGTTATTTTTTGTACCTGAGTTTGTTAGAAATTAAATATGATCAATTAGTTTGATTTGCCAGCTTTCCTCATTTAATAGGAAGCTCATAATTGACACTTGTACTCATGAGAATACAATATATATATATATATATATATATATATATATATATATATAACACGAATAATGTAGTTTGTCGATCCACTTTCCTATTTTTCTCTCTACATACATCGATAATTATCTTCGTAGTTATGTCTAATTAGTTGTGACAATTTCGCCTAACATTTAGACTTAATATGATCATATATTCTCGAATTTTTGTGATTTTTAGAATCAATAAATAATATGACTAATTAGTGTTTATGCTACAAATTTATTTATTATAAAGAAACAAACAAATAATGAATTAACATAAGTTCTTTGTCACGTAAATTGTTTTGGGCATGTTATGCATTTTTCTGTAATGAAATTCTAAAACCAAATACCAAGTTAGCATAATTTTGCTTTCTACAATGCGAATATGGTAAACTGTTGATTTCCTAAGTATATCCTTAATATTTTTGTAGTTTTTATTCCAAAATGTTTTGATTTTCAAGCTAAGTGGATATAATCACACCAGATGTTTAAACATGGCCACATGTGTCACAAGTCAACATTATTTGTATTTGTTAGTTTGAAACCCTACTTCAGTTCGTTTGACAAGGCTGTTTCAAAAGATGCTTGTTGGAGAGGAATGCCCTTTAATCACGTCCATTAACATTTTAAAAGAAGCTTTGTACAAAATCACTTCAAAAAGACTGAGGGCATATAACCGCCTCCGTTGTTTCCAACGAATGTGGGCATTGTCTTGCCAGTTTTTGTGTACAGTACTACACTATGGTATTTGATCACACTTAGTTCTTTACTATCAATTACCTCAGTTCATTAAATTTTGTTAAGCTGTTTTATTAATTTTGTATCATATATTTACGAAATTCATTGTGTATATTACTGTTTTGTGTGTAAATGCAAACATGACTATTTATTCTCATTTGTTCCATTTGTCATTATTCAGTATTACTCAATAAATACCTTAATCTTCAAAGTTCTATTCCATATAATCGATGTTTTTTGTTTGATCACTTAACAAAACTTCTCATAAGTATGTAGTCCATTAACGGTCCCTTTCAGTTTATTCAATAGGTATTACCTTATCTATATATATTTTTAAGTTGCATTGTAATTATGTTCGTGGATTACATTAAACTTTAATTTAAATTGTGAATTGACTCACAGTCGTTAGTTGATTAATATTTTATATTCACTTGAATAATTTGTTAGTGTAGAGTCGGGAACAAGGTAAGTGATAGTTGAAAAAAGACTTCAATTTATGCTTTTCACTAATGTTATTCAATCTGCAAAAACATAGAAATCATGATGCATTTGTGCCAACAATGTAACTTTTCAACTCATCCGTCCTCAGTAACCGACATTTGTTTGCATTGTCGGCTTTAACCTAAAGGTTATTTTTCTCATATATTCATCAACTTCGTAGATTATTAAAAATGAATATTTATTTGTTCAATTCGCTCCTTATCATTGTTTTAAGACGGTTTATCCATATAAATTAGGTTAAGATAACAATCCGAAGTATTTTAATGACTACTAGTCTTTCATCATGAAATCGACTACTCCGATTATCGAACAAGCAGGTGTTTTTTCCTCAAACTTACTCATTTTCAGAAATGCAGCGTAATTACCTTCAAACTAGCAATCTGTGTACTTCAAACTAACCATATTAAGTTTGATTTACAACTTTATCATCAATATTAAGACTGTGTTTCTGTTTTTGGTTACTTTCTTCGAAATGTAATTCACCATAGCTTTCTGATCACGTTCAACTTTATATCATTATAATTTGTGTGCAGACACATTTCATATTGATTTTCTTGTTTGTTTGTGCTAGTATGTAGTTATAAATGTCTACTAAACAATTTGTTGCGATTTTTGTATGTATTCATTTCGAGACGCCTACACATCATGACCTAAAGAAATACAAAACTGAAAGCACCCATACACAGATCAGGTAACACATTGGTAACTTGAAATATTTTTAAAGAATTACTCAGAGTAAATGCTTAACCCCAACAAGTAAATTCTTGTTATATTAATATATATACCCTGTCATAGTACATATCCTTAAAGTTTATATTTAATGTCATGACTGGCAACCGTTAGTCGACAATTATTAAATCCTTATCATACTCACTAGGATTTTAAGATTTGATGTCTAACGTTCTAAAAATGTTATGAAGATAAATTATTGAAAAACAGTTAAACGAAAAAATATCCTTCCGAATAAATTTTTCATCCAAACTTGATCTAATTTATGATTACATCATCATCTCGCCCTCCTTGTTTTATCTATATTTTTTCTGATTCAAGTTAATATTATACACTAGTCATTTCAACACTAACAATTTAATTTGATTTTACCAACAATCCTGAATTCATATCCTGTAATTTATTTATTTGCCAGTCCCAAGCCCGGGTAAAGGAGGAGGGCTGGGCATGGGGTTAGCAACACCATCCCGTAGAAAAATAACTCGCTAAAACAACGCTAATCAGAGAAAATATTTCAAACCATTTAAACTCTATCCTGGGAGTCAGAAGGCCTTCGTTTAGAAGAGTTATGACGCCTCATGATGAAAGCCGAATTCCTTCGGAAGCTACGAAGCCCGATGCCCCTTCTGACAACCAGAGCAATCATTTATTTAGGTACATGGAATGTTCGTACAATGTGGGACACCGGGAGAGCCTTCCAAATTGCTGCAGAAATGAGAAGATACAACCTACAGGTGCTTGGGATCAGTGAAACACATTGGACGCAAGTTGGACAACAACAACTAACTTCAGGGGAGCTTCTGTTATACTCCGACCATGATGAAAAAAATGCCCCCCACACACAAGGAGTTGCATTGATGCTGTCCAAACAAGCACAAAAAGCACTTATAGGATGGGAATCTCATGGACCAAGGATCATCAAAGCCTCCTTCAAAACAAAGAAAGAGGGCATTTCAATGAACATCATCCAATGCTATGCGCCTACCAACGACTACAATGAAGACGCTAAAGATCAATTCTACGATAGGCTGCAGTCAATCATCGAGAAGTGCCCAACAAAGGACCTGACCATTCTGATGGGAGATTTCAATGCCAAGGTTGGAATGGACAACACTGGATACGAAGACATCATGGGACGACACGGACTGGGCGAAAAGAACGAAAATGGTGAGAGATTTGCAAATCTATGTGCCTTCAATAAGCTGGTCATAGGCGGCACCATATTCCCACATAAACACATACACAAAACCACATGGACTTCACCGGATCACACAACACTAAACCAAATCGACCATATCTGCATCAACAAAACGTTCAGGACTATAGAGGACGTGAAAACCAAGAGAGGAGCTAATATAGCATCTGATCATCACTTGCTGGTCGCCAAGATGAAATTGAAACTCAAGAAGCACTGGACAATCGGGCGGACAGTATCACAAAAGTTCAATATGGCCTTTCTTCAGGATACTGATAAACTCAACAAATTCAAGATAGTTCTCAGCAACAAGTTCCAGGCCTTTCATGATCTACTCAATGGAGAGGAGACTGCTATGAGGAGCATCTGGAAAGGGATAAAAGAGGCAATCACTTCAACATGCCATGAGGTTCTGGGCCACAAGATGCACCATCACAAGGAATGGATCACTGTTGATAAACTGGATAAGATTCAGGAAAGGAGAAACAAGAAGGCAGCAATCAATACCAGCCGAACAAGAGCAGAAAAAGCCAAGGCACAAGCTGAATACACAGAAGTAAACAAACAAGTGAAGAGGAGGAAGATTTAGCAACGACGGCGGAAACGGCTGCAAGAGAAGGAAACATGAGACGACTGTATGACACGACAAAGAGACTCGCTGGAAATCGCCGTAAACCAGAACGACAAGTGAAAAGCAAGGAAGGCGAGGTAATCACCAACATTGAAGAACAACGAAACAGGTGGGTAGAACACTTCAAAGAACTCTTGGATCGACCAGCTCCACTGAACACACCCAACATCGAAGCAGCGCCCACGGACCTCCCAGTCAGTGTTGGCCCACCAACAATTGAAGAAATCAGCATGGCCATCAGACAAATCAAGAGTGGCAAAGCAGCGGGACCAGACAACATTCCAGCAGAGGCACTGAAAGCAGACGTAGTAGCAACTGCAATGATACTCCACATTATCTTCAATAAGATTTGGGATGAGGAACAAGTACCAAAAGACTGGAAAGAAGGACTTCTGGTCAAAATACCGAAGAAAGGCGATCTCAGCAAGTGTCATAACTACAGGAGCATCACTCTTCTCTCAATACCGGGAAAAGTCTTCAACAGGGTATTGTTAAACAGGATGAAGGACTGCGTAGACGCCCAACTTCGTGACCAACAGGCAGGATTCCGTAAGGAAAGATCGTGTACAAACCAAATCGGAACTCTACGGATCATTGTAGAGCAATCAATTGAATGGAATTCATAACTCTACATCAACTTTATTGACTACGAAAAGGCATTTGATAGCGTGGACAGAACAACACTATGGAAACTTCTTCGACACTACGGCGTGCCTCAGAAGATAGTCAATATCATACAGAGTTCATATGATGGATTAAACTGCAAAATCGTGCATGGAGGACAGTTGACAAAGTCGTTCGAAGTGAAGACCGTTGTCAGGCAAGGTTGCTTACTCCCACCCTTTCTCTTTCTCCTGGTGATCGACTGGATCATGAGGACTTCAACATTTGAAGGGAAGCACGGGATACAGTGGATAGCTAAGATGCAGCTGAACGATCTAGACTTCGCAGATGATCTGGCTCTTCTATCGCAAACGCAACAAGAAATTCAGGAGAAGACGAACAGTGTGGCAGCAGCCTCGGCAGCAGTAGGTCTCAATATACACAAAGGGAAAAGCAGGATTCTCCGATACAACACAGCATGCACCAATCCAATCAAAATTGACGGAGACGATTTGGAAGATGTAAAAACCTTTACATATCTGGGCAGTATCATTGATGAACACGGTGGATCTGGTGCAGATGTAAAGCCGCAAATCGTCAAGGCAAGAGCAGCATATCTACAATTGATGCACATTTGGAACCCAAAACAACTGTCAACCAACACCAAGGTCAGGATTTTCAATACAAATGCCAAGGCAGTTCTACTGTATGGGGCGGAAACCTGGAGATCTACGAAAGCCATCATTCAGATGATACAAGTGTTTATTAATAGCTGTTTACGCAAAATACTTCGGATCCTTTGGCCAGACACTATTAGCAACAACCTACTGTGGGAGAGAACAAACCAGATTCCAACAGGAAAAAATCAGGAAGAAGCGCTTGGAAGTGGATAGGACACACATTGAGGAAAGCACCCAACTGCATCACAAGACAAGCCCTCACATGGAATCCTCAAGGCCAAAGAACACATTACGCCGGGAAATGGAAATAGACATGAGAAAAATGAACAAAAATTGGATAGAACTGGAAAGCAAGGCCCAGTACAGAGTGGGATGAAGAATGCTGGTCGGCGGTCTATGCTTCATTAGGAGTAACAGGCGTAAGTAAGTAAGTGATTAATTTATTTGTCTTAAACTTGAGACTTTAATTTAGATGTATAATTGTAAAACCTGATGAGAATCTTTTTTGGCAATTATTTTACTTTTCAAATAAAGCCATAGTCATAAGCGTTTGAGTCTTCTTGTTTGTTGCTATTAAGGTATCTAATCAATCAGTCCTTTTCAGCATGTTTCACTGACCAACTTTACGAATAAATATATGTGAATAATTGGGAGTATCGAGGGGATCTTCTCACGATGCTCATATTACAAGCGACTAGTCAATTGCAGCTTTTAAGAACGACAAAGCGAAGATCCAAAAATTTCTAAATAGGATACATACCCGTTCCACAGGTTACTGACCATTTAAATTCAGTAGCTTAGTGAATAGCGTGATGGAGATTTGAAGTGAAGTGTAATGTGTTCGAATCCCAATGTGAATGTTAACCCTGAGATGCAAGTAAATTCACCTGAAGAGTCCTAAATGGAACGAAATGCGCTCTTCGGATCCCAATGCTATCAATTAACTGACTGTTATATTAGGAAAAAACAGATTGCTTGGTTAGATTGTATTAGGTTCCGTGTAATCTGACCGTAATGACAGGAAAGCAGTTGTACCAACTCTTTAGCCTGATTATCAATTAGTTCACCCATATTGCCAGTAGAACCTGTGACCTATTTACTGATCGACACCGGTCAGTGAGTAGCAGCCAAAATGGTAATGCTTATAGGCCTTCGAGCTTCTAAACCAGTGGTCAATCAAAAGATGAAGATAAAAAGATCAGTTCTCTATCATATCCGTTCAGCTATGATTCAAAACACAAAATAATGTTCTTGAAGTGGCTAACCACATAACACAATAAATCACAGTGTACATAACTTAGTCATAAGTAATACAAAACCGGATTGGTTGATAGTTAATCTGAAACAATGAGATTTGACAACTATTTATAGGTCAAACGAAAGCATAAAAAACTGTAAGAGTACAACAATAGAAGCGTCTACTAATTATCAGTTATAAATATAATTAGTAATTCTCTGTGATATTCCTATGAGTCGTACTCCCACACTACTCGTTTCTTTACATCATTAACTTAACTAAAAAACCAGTCACCTGGGAAATTGTGTAATATAAATGTCATACTTTTTAAAAGCATTTCTTAACTAAATATTTATACGACTAATAACGACCTATTTTCTCTCTTTTCAAACCATTTTTATTTGCTTCATAAATTCGTCGTTGTGAATTGTGACTGGTTCACTTCTTTCTAGGTTTCTTCGCTTTTTACCATGGTACTCTGTGGATTAAAACACTCGACTTTCAGCCTGTAGGTCACAGGTTCGAGAGCTACTTCGACTGTTTCTGTCTAACAGCCGGGCAATATCCCCAACCCCTGCAAAAACGGATAAGTCTGCAGTTGGAATGCGGTCTGAATCTTTTGAAAACCAAATTCACCAGACCCATTTATGGAGTCCTCAACTTTAAACCACAAACTTAGTGAACATTTACCGTTTAACTTTTTCTAATGATAACTATATTTCATACATTGGCATTAGACATTTTCAACTTGGTTGTCTTTAAACAAAGTTCACAAGGAACTTGAATTGCTGATAGTATGGAGATATAAAAACTGGCGTGTTATCTTTGAATAGCTATCACTCAATACTATATTGTCATAGTTGAGTCTATTGTATTTCTGGTTATTTTACCAGTGGTCTGTCTAAACTGATACTTAAGATAGTATTACCTAAATTTTTCAGTTATATTGACATATATGTTTCTAGCAACTGATCATCTACACATTTTTGAGTCCCGAAAATTCTCTTTACAATCGCGAAGTTCATCGTTTCATTCCTTACTTACATCATTAGGGAGTTAATAGAGAAATAAATTATTTAATGTGCTTCACATCAATTTATTAATTAATTGAACTCATGTGCCAACTGGTTCATATACTTATCATTTCTTTCTATTGAACGTGTTTTTCGGTTTCAAATTGAGTAATCCCTTTAAAAATGATACGTCTTCACTTATCATTTGCCTTATGTTTATTTTGTCTACTTTATTAGACTGGACGTCAGTTTCGTGTCATAATTCTTTCAAATTCTTCTAAAAATCTTCGTAATCAAACACCTATTCTCAATCCTTTGCCATTCTACTCAGATCCTCCTAATCGTCGTCCAAATGGTCTAACCATTCAACCCGTTCATATGTCTCTGACAGCATCACAGATGTCAGCGTTCTCTGCCCCGAATAGTAGTTCATTGGGAAACAATTTTGGTACTGCTGCTTATGGTAATCATAATAACAACAAAGATTGTAGTCCAATTATTGATTCGGTACAGGGAAATCTAACGTTAACACCATTCAGCGTTGATAATTCAATGCCTCCAAGTTCTTTCCAAAGTTTTAAGGCTAATCACTTGAATACTTTGACAGAATATTGTGTTTATTTATTCATATACAAGAATATTAACGAGCTTTTAGAATGTTGTGAACTAATTAAACATGAATCATCAATTTCCACTGTCCAAAAACCGATAAAAGTTTTGGCTTATTTATACTGCAGTAATTATGACGCACTTGAAAGAAATGTAATCCTCTCTGGACTAATGGCTTCATCGCGGTAAAATAACCACTTTTTATTTCGTATATAATTACCATTATTTTATCAAATTATCCATTAATTCTTTTTCTCTAGTGATGTTCATCTTTTGTAGTAGTTGTACACAATATGCAATCAATGTAACATTTTTAAATGTTCAGATGTTGTCGACATTTTGTACCTTAAAACTAATAATAATAGTAGACGATGTCCTCGTGTATTAATTCATTTAACCATGAGTTCTATTCCACCAAATCGTCACTGTCATTTTAAGTTCGATAGACTGTAAAAAGCCCCGTCTAAAAGTTACAATAGCTGGATCTAGTCATCTAAAATTTCAGAAAAGGCTAGGCTGCTTTTGTTAGAACTCGTCTTTATTTCTTCTGGAATGGAGTCAGTGAAACTACAAAATTACGGTACAGTGTATTCTGTTTCTTCCCATTTCGTATACTACCACTCACTCATATAGCATACAACCGACTTTCAACTTCAGTAGTGCACGACGTTTTGAACCCAATGCTATGCCTACACCTGTGAGAATATTCATTTGCTTAGAAGTGAATAACAATGTCTGGGTCCTTTATTGAGGTCTCACAAACCATATTGATTCACGACACAATATTCTAGAGTTTTGGTTAGTAAATCCTTTTGTGCGATCTTGCATAACGTACGAAATTGGGAGGTTCAGTTTGTGGTTTAGAGTATTGTTTCCTGTAATCAGGAAAGTTATTTTATAAACTCGAGCAGTTAACATTAGTTGCACATTCTGAGGATGACGCTAATGAAGAAGGGTTGTTAACAAAGTTGAGTTACAAAGATTTATAGTGTCCTGGTTAATCTGAAATATTTCCGTATGTATGCAAGCGGCTAAAGCTTCTCCCTTGTTTACATCGCAGGAAAATGTTTACTCTAGAACGACTTCCCAAAGTGGCCGAATGAGTGTCAAGTATCTCATAGACTCGGGAGCTTAACTCTTTAAAGCTAATCAAACCCTTCCTTTTTGTAATTATTCACTTTTAGTTTTACCGTGTTCTCTTTCTTCAAACCTCACCCTCCAACACCGAAAATTTATTTCAGTCGGTGTGTGGTGTTTTTAAGACAGACATCTTCTAGCACTTGTGATAAAGTAGCATAATTGAAAATGATGGTTATCGGCGGAAAACTCTTCTTTCGCGACAGTTTACTATTTTCATGAGTGTAACTTCCTTGTCGAGTTCGTCGCTGTCGGTCTGAATACTCTAAATCACTTGTCTGAAACCGTAAGACATTAAAAACGAGTTTTCTAGCTAACAAAGTAGTCACATTAAGAAAGTTTAAACATTTTGTCAAGTTAGTAATAGCAGTGGTTGATAGTTTTGACTCGACCACAGGAGCGGTGTATTTCGATATATACTTTGGTGATAATATTGAGTATTACTGATCAAAAGTGAGTGGATAACTGATTAGTATGATTAATCTTTGGACATTAAGTTTGGTTCATAACCTAGTGTGTAAAAATGTGCACGGTCATTGAGTTGCATCATATTCTACAGTTACATAATAAAAACCTAACAATGTTTAATCCAGCTTGAATTGTTTAATATTACAAGTTTTTATTATCTATATTTTGTCCTTTATTTCCCTCTAGTTTTAGAATACCTTATTTGTCTGTAAATTCTGAATCAGTAGAAGTGTTTCTGGATAATCTCCTCTACTTAACAACTAATACCCAGATAGAAAACGATCAAACAACATATACTTCCAATTCTAATATTTCTTTTATTGACTGGAGAAGTTTTATAAATGTTGATTATTTATCCATTCTTACAGAATTCATTTGTCTATCAGAAAACTTTATGGATAAGCTAATTACAGAAGATAAATTCAAATTTGTCGGATTATTAACAGCGTTAATCCTGTCAAACTGTAATATAGTATCCGGTTGTACTGATTCACATAGTACAAACCGCAAATTATTCTTTGTACCTTCAACAATTTATCGCGAAGATCCGCAATCGTATTGTAAAAGTAAAAAGAATTCCTCATGCATTTACGTGCATTTTGTACAATTGGACGAAGTAAGATAATTTATCGTTAGCCTATTGATATTTTGTTGTTGTATAGGGATCGATCCTGTAAATTTCAGTATCTACAGAGGAATTATTCAGTCATCGTTTATTTTTATTCCATATAGTTCATACTTTAGTTCTGTAAACAAATACTTGCTCATATAAATATATACGAGGAATGTTGAAATTCTAACTGATCTCTAAGCTTAACTTCTCTGACACTTTTTTGTCTGTGGTTCTCACTCTTTATGCGTTACCAATCTCTATGGGTTCCACTGCTAGCCACCATCCATCTTTGCTTATGATGCTCGTCACAATATCGAGGCAATACGCACAGTATGCACATATACCAATAAGAGACTGATCAATTGGAGTCCTGAACATCGATGGGAAGATTCAAGCGAACAGCACCAAGTGAATTTAACTCTATGTTAACTGTTTAAATAAATATCAAGTTTAGTCCATAACCTGTAAATAATAAAAGCAATATGATTAAATGTGAAAATTATATTAATGGTTAATATTCTATCCTTCTACGTCACGGAATATTTTAGGTTACTACACCAATTTTATTATTCGTCACATTGTATTTAGTTATATCTTGTATTATTACATTTCTAGGTTATTGAATCCGTTCTATGCCAGTCTCCTACGTTCTCAACGGCTTATAGTCCTCGTGCCCTACTTATCCACTATTCTTCATCTTCCTGGTCCGAAGTTGGAATTGACATTGAAGATTCTCTCAATAAACTTTGCTCTGCATTTGATTTAAATACTTTTAGTGAATACAAATTCACTCCAGTGATATTACTTGTCGCGTTTCATTCAGGATCTTCTCAACAAATCCCTGTAGAAGCTGAAGGCATTATCCATGGGCTAAAACTTATTCAACGCTTAGCACATGACTATAGTTGCCCACTTTTTTTACCATCATCAGAATACGAACCAGTGAAAGTCCAATTTAGAAAAAATTCAATCTCTTCTGGTGTGTCTACAGAATGTGAAAGTGACCACATCAACATGTGCGAAAATATTCAGTCTATAAAAGATAGTGCAAAATTTTCATTGGGTTTTTTATCTGTTTCTCGGTCGGATGATGTAAGAGCTGGTGCGTTTTCCGTCATTCTTTTATCTTTATGAACGTTTGAATATTTTCATGGCGGTAATCAAATAAATATTTTTGTTTAACGTATATACTCATGGATTATCTGTAAACAAATAAGACAGAATTGTAATCATCGTTCACCCTCAAATAAATATCTAAAGGATATTCAATAATATAAGTCTTTATAATTTTAAGATGAATGTACTTATCCTAACGATTACTAGGATTCTACCCTCGTTGATTTTTAAAAACCTAGCTTCCTAGTACATGCATGTTGAATCAGTGATTGGCATTGCTTTCACTGTTATATACTAACATAGAAGTTTTTCAAACTGACCAATGTGTTTCGGGACATGCTCGCTCAGTTGTATTTGTTTATACTCTTTATATATATATATAATTATCTGTATAGTGTTTTGAAGATTGTTGAGTTTTTAATTGAGATCAAGAACCGATCAATGTTGACCACCATTAAAAACCTGGAAACACTGGACGGCCGTCTCGTCCTAGTATGGAATTCAGCAGTGCGCATCCCTTTTGTACATATTTAGACCTAAATGAGTCTGCTGAATCTTGTATATACTGGTTTTTACATATTTCGAAGAAAATGTTGATTTTGTGTTATTTGCATTTAGTCTGTTTTCTTTCTTTTTTGCTTCTCTCTCAAAGAACTGTACAAACGCATTTTTGACGGAGAATTCAGCAGTTGGTACTCTAGCTTCGAAATGACTAAAAATCTTTCTGATAACTCGGTTTGTTCTAACGTCGTTGCCAACAATAACAATTATTTCTCAAACACACACACATCAAAATGTTCAACATCCTCAAAAAGTCCCACCGAAAAACCACAATTTGCACTTGATTCTCAAAATGTGAGCTGTGTCTGTTCATCAATCCTCCATAATCCACCAAACGATGTAATTACACTTCCTTGGCTTCCTCTTAGTCCAACTGATGCATTTAGTTTCCAGAGTTTAAGGTCACTTCCAACTCAAAACTCTTTTTCTAGAACTTTTTGTCGGGAAACTACTCATGCAAATATTATTCGGACACTTGACAATCATAGGCAACTGTCTCGATCAAATATAGTAAGTTAGCCTGAATGTATTCATTTACTATTATTAAGTTGCCTGTTTGTCCTCGAATAAGCTGTGATAATAAATCCTCTCGTCTTGCTTCTCCTTTTTATATTTTTAATCACCCATTTAGATGTTTTTGTGATTTATAATTTTTTGACAATTTCAGTCCAATAGAATTTAAGGACTTCACAATATAACATTTCTGTGTACAAAGTATGTTAATACGTTGTACGGTATCGTATTATTTACTTGTCTTGAGATCATCATATCTTCTTACTTGATATTATTTGACAACTAGTGGATTTCATTCTATCGGTTATTATCTAGAGAAATTCTTGTAAACCTTTTATACACTTATGACAAGCTTTATTATTTTTTGTATTGTCATGTACTCAAGTTGAATAAGTGTTAATGGACAGGTATGCTAAACAGGTTCACAACTTACTGACATATCATGAAAAAGTCTAGGTACTGTCAAATCACTGAAATGATATTGTAAAAGCGTGAATCGTCAAATATAGACCGTTGTTAAACAGAGTGCCATGGTAGTTGTAACGTACATACTTGCCGCATAAAAATGATTTGACGAAGAACTTTAGTAGTAAGTGATACCAAGATTGATCCTGAAAAGCTTAGTCATCCACTAAGTATGCCTTCAAAGCAACTCTGTTATTTAATGATAGCATCGTGAACAGCACAATCAAATTCATACGTGTGATTCATACACTGAATCGCAGTTCATGATGGTGCATGTGAAGTTTACGTGGTACTGTGTAAATTTGAGTATACGTCTTAGTAAGCATTAGAATTAAGCAATCTTTGTTTAATACATAATAACTCTGTTTGAAGCAACTCTAGCAACAGGTTATTGCCAATTATTGTTCAAGAATAGTTATCCTCTGAGATGGTTATAACTCGCGATAATCGCAAGGGTTGGAATAAAGTTGGGGACGGCCAAATCAAGATGTGGCATTAGTCCATGAAAACATCTGACCGTTGGAATACATTGCATAGATGGGTACAGACTACCTGGTTGGAGTTTGCGCAATTATTGCAACCGATAGTTAGACTTTGGGTGATATAACTCAAAATCACTCACAATGCAATAAGTCCATTCACTCCGTATCTTCCCTTACTTTTTAAGTATAAAGCACAAGTCACCATTCAACAGATCTAACACTAAGTTCCTAAAACTACCTTTTCAAAATATTTTATTCAGCTAATCCATATTTTTTCCTCGAATTGCATATATACCTCATCGCTTATATTACCACTAATACTGTTGCTACCTCTATTACTCTACGGTTTCCCTTGAAAATTTCTCGCTTTACTAATGGGGCGTGACAAATTGAACGCATCCTCACATGTTCTTAGTTCTAAGTTGTGTATGACTGGCTGACTACAACTAAATTAAACTTTCAAACGCTCCTTCATTTTTACCTTGTTGAAAATGCCTACACTTCAGCGCAAAAACTATTCCTCAAGTAGGATCGATATTACTTAGATTCTATCGAATCTGTGTGATGTACGTTTTTGTATGTAAATCTAATTGCCATTTCACGAATTCAGTCATAAGTTTTAGATTTCATAAATTCCATGTTTGTTTATTTGAAATAGCACACAGAGAAATAATGTTAATTCGCGTATTACTTTTGACATAATTCATTGTACATATTCATTAGAAAATATTTGCATAACTTTTTAGAATTCCTATATTCTTCATCCTTTGGGTTACCGTAGTAACCTCTGTGTCATATTCCTTACACAAGTTGATATTCCATTCCATATAACCCATACTTATTATCGTCTGAAGGTTTTTGGGTGCTTGCTTAAATATTCTTCATTTTTGATGTACTTTAAATGACATTTGTTCAAGTACACTAGATTACCACTGCAAAGTTATGTATCTTTCTTAATTGGATTACTACTTATTTGATTTTCTGTTTAATATTTCTCTTGGAAAGCTCAATTCTACAGAGTGTGGTATCTTACCTTCGACAATATGTGAAGAAATGTGTCAGATGTCTCAGGCTGGTGTATTTTGTTCAGTATGTCCACAGTCATGTTCCACAGCTGTCGCTTTACCCAGTATTAACTCTTCTGTAGAAGAGTATTACGCCGAACTTCCCAAAGTAACTCAATCAGTTGTAAGTATATTTTCTTCCTTCTTCACTGTTTACTTTTTTATGTACATATATCGGACAATGAACATTACCTTTAAATGTCCAGAATTATTTTTATTACACTTAGTAATTTCACTTATAGTTAACCAAGGTAACCATAATATTATAAGCTAGGATTCGATAATTTATACTCAACTTTGAAAAGCTTATCCCAAATGTTTCTTCTCTTGTACTCTGATAGAACTTCAGTTTAGTTCGATAGACCTAAAAAATTCCTGTGAAATACATGAGTTTTTTCGAATGAATTATGATTGACGTAGGCATATATTGTAAAATTTATCTTAAAATAAAATTCCCATTTTAATTAACATAGTACTAGGTGAATACTTTAAATAACTCTAATACAATCGTCACACATTACTTGTATGTGGGAACTAATATAGTTAAAAATCAAAAATAGCTTAAACCTCTTTGTATGGATTGTTTCTAAACATCTGATTGTTTAGTGCTAACAGATTTTTATTAATTTATAGTTAGTTATGATATGGTTTCTACTTTCATACGTTCATAATCCTCATTCAAATCTAGGTTATTCAATGTACTAATTTTCTTACAAAATTTACAAGCAAAATTTTTTAAAGTTATTGGAAGTGTTTATTTTCTCCCAAACAACTCTTAGAAGTTTGGTGAATATGAAACTTTTCAAGTCACGAATTTGTGATATTTTCATCGCGCGAAAAACTTAAATATGATCGTTTGAACTTACATGTCTAATAACTGAATCGAATAGCAACAACAACAAATATCACTACAAATATCCATGCGTTTTCTAACTGCATTATTTATCATCAAATCAGATCTATAATCTTTGTTCAGTTTCTTAATCATTATTGACTGAGTTAATGAAATAATAGGAGTGTAGATTTTTGTTTATTAGTTTTTACTGTCAAAATATGGTTACTTGTCCACTATATAAACAAATTATGAAAGGATTTGTATAGTTAATAAAATTTTCGTTGTTTTAAACCGCGGATTGATCTTAGTTATTGAGAGGCCGTAATCAATGGAGTTTAACGATGTCGGATGTGAAACAATCATCTACCTTCTTAGTTGAAATTAGACATGTACACTATTTGATCCCTGCTCAATGGTGTAAAGCGTTCGGATCCAATAACGAGGTTTCTAAGTTTGATTACCAGGTACAGGGTCGCTAATAAGCACTGCTAAGAAGTCCCGTATTAGAACGAGACAACCGTCCAGTGCTTACAGGTTTTCTATGTTTATCTAAATAAGATCGGTTCGTGATTGCAAAATGAAAACAGAAATAAAATTCAATAAGTGTAGATTATTCTCTATACTGGGTTGCTCTTCATCAGTTCGTTGTTTTCAGTGATAATTTAACTATGTATTTTACTGTTTGTGCTTTCTTTTGTTTTCAGATATTAAAACTTCCACTAAATTATTTTCAATGATGAAAATGACAACTTTAAGTTAGCATTTACTTTTCACTTGTTGTTTTTGTGTATTAGGTTAGTAACTGGATTGTCATCGTGTTTCTCTGCTCCTTGTTGTTGTCTTCCATAACCTTTTTTGTTTGTTGATCTTGTTCAAAAAAGTTTCTTTCCAAGCTTGGATGTGTTTGTTGTAATGGAGTTCTATTCTGTGTGTGAATATATACATATACTTACATTTAACATAACGATTTCGCTTTACCTTATTTATGCAGACTTTAGAACTGGATTCACGTCGTCCTCATCCTAATCGACCTAAACGACCTCACCCACGTACCGATTCCGCTCATTCTCATTCACCGTCTCCGTTATTATCCAACGACCAAAATTTATTACCAACAACCATAGCTTTCAATCAGTCGATAACTGACCTGTGTTCTAAAAATGATCTGTCCCATATTAACGGTCACCAAACATTAGATAATGGTTCAACCGTTTATGCTGAAGTTAACGATGCCTTCGTTTACAAAACACTTCCTCATTGTTCTTCATCAGGTTTTATTCCTACCAAACTATCCTCACATGTAGATCATTATGAATTAACAGATTCTGTACAGCAACTTAATAATTTAACTTTGTATCCGAATCTTTCAAGTTCTCCGTACACCTCCAAAATCCGTGATAATACTCATGTAAATGGTAAGTCTTCTAAACACTAACATTTTACTGTTGTTCCGTTCGTGTGTAGTTAGTGTATTAAACCTTTTTTCTATAACATTAAGTGATTCTAGACATCAAAAAGCAAAACATATTTCCTGTTTTTTATATTTTAAAGAGCTCTACAGTTAAAAATATGGCACCACCCTTTTATTTATTAAAAAACGTTCAGAACTCTGATCCAAACATAAAAGAAAAGACTGGTTTATATATAACATTTCGTAGTTAGTCTTTTGGTACTATATGTAAACCATTATATAAATACTTCAAAATTGACATCGGTAAACATCATAACATACAAAATCCGAAATGCTAAAAATGTACGGTTCAGCTATTCCTTTGGACGAAGGTACATGAACTGCGTGTAGTTAGTACCCGCTTTCATCACGAATATAGGAAGATATTCCCCCTTGGTTCTACAAATATGAAAAGAGGATGACTAGGAGTTCTGTCCTTGATCGTAATTATTTAACCAATCTACATTGATTTTAATATTACTTTTAAAATCCTTCTTTAAAGAATCAAAATCTTAAAGTTTTCATGAATATGATTATATATCTTGATAATAGATTCGTTGGAAAGAGATCTCTTCATTCAGTTTTGTTTTCAATGTTCTTATATGAATTATAAAATTACGGATACTGATGTTGGACTCAGGAAAACTCATAACATTGTTCAAACCTACATTGTATTATCTCGACTCATTTTCTTAAGACTTTCAGCTGGGTTCATTTCTCGAATTAACTATATGCCTTATTTTGAGAAACGCTATTCATTAATATTTAACAGCTGATATGTACTCACAAAGATATCGTTTATAGGATTGATATCCCTTTCATTTGTTTTTATACTGTACTAGTGGAATAGAAAATAATTAAGCTCCACTGTTTGTATCATTAATTAAATAGTCGATAGTTTCTGCTTAATTGCATCTGACACGAACTCGAGTTATTTCACACGGCTTTCTTTCATAGCTTGCTCCAGTCCTGTATCCCACTTCCTTCTTGTTACTAGCACTTCAATATGATATCGTGTCTCAGAGATTTCGCAAACAGTATTTTAATCACGATTTCTCTAACATTACAACCGAATTTTTTATTTTAAGGGTTGTGACTACTCTTTTTTCCAGTATCATTACAGAGATATTATTTGAAACACAAGATAAGTGAAGAAATATTTCTCTTCACTTAGTTCCTTATTAAGGTTCCATAATAATATGTAAGTTTTACAGTTAAGAATAAAATCAATACCAATTAAATGGTGATTGGTCACCTTAACGATTTTTTCTTTTAAACTAATCAGTTAAAAGCTCATTAAATGTGATTCTTTCTTTCCTTTGTCACTACTAAAATTCAGGCTCCCTTGTTTTAAATAATACACGCGAAATGTGCCATTCAAATTCATCGCGTGTGAATCCATTATCGAATATCTTTTCACAATGCAAAGCTCCTGCTGATACTTCCTTTGGAAGAACTAGCTTGCAGTTTAATCCGAGACATACAAACTTACCAGCTCTGCCTCCGAACGAGATTCCAACCTCCATATCAACTCATTCAGATTCAAATTTCTCGTTGCTTCCTTTTTTTTGTATGCCTACTCAAGCGACACGTTCCGTTTTATGCCCCTCTTATTCCAACAGTTGTTCCACCCCATTATGTTCTTGGTCTACATGTAGACAGCACGCGGTAAATTTCAGTAGATTTTCGAGAGAACCAAATGTTTCAGCTTCTGGCTTGCAGTGTGCTCCAAATACTTTTCCTCTCAAATCTTCTACGTTTCTTGGACCTGTGATGCCCATAGAAGTCCCGTGCGAATCTCTCCCTGTTTCTCAGTTGAACCAAAAAGTAGGATTTTCTGAATATTTTTAATTGTTATTCCATACCATTTGTTGTCGTACTTTGACTTTTTCAAAGACTAACGTGATTAAGGTTATGTTAGATTCGATCCAAAAATTCTAAATAAGCTTAAGTGACGTTTTTTTTTTTTAAAAAAAAAAAACACTTCATCATTTTACTGAAATATAGAATATTAGTGCCAATGGGTAATTTTTTTCGATCATTTATTCTGTATATTCACTTTAACTTTTAAGTACATTCAAAATAGGTTCTCAATTCAGATTATTCCTGTTTATATTAATTGTATGTCCTCTTACGTATAATAATAATAAAGATTAGTATTATTAAAGTTCTTGAAATAATTGTTGTTTTTTTAGAAAACATTGACTTATGTTGTTGATTCGGCTGTCACTAACATATCGCCTGTTACGTCCGACTTGTCAAATAATCGAAAACGATTTCCACGGAATATTTTATCCAGTGCTATAAAGCGATATAATATTTGGTCACGATATATGTTGAACAATAGTCATAACTCAAGTAAGTTATTAACATGTATTTCTGATAAATATACTTTCCAATATTCTTCTAATCTCATTCTTTACTGTTATGCATGTCTGTTGATTGGTTAAGTTAATAAAGTATTTCATAAATACTTGTACTTTATTTATCTCAGTCAATAAATGTAAGTTTTTATGGTTTAGATTTAACATTTCTTAAATCATTTTACTTTTGCTCTTCTTCAAATCAATTTATAGCCTTAAAACTGATTAGAAATTTACAGTAAGAGCGAGTCCTAGTTAGCTGAGTTGTGTTACGATGTGCGATGATCAAATGTTATTGTGCTTGCTTCCTGTGTTTGGTGAATCCAACCTTGCTATGTCAATGAGAATACTACGAATGACAGGCAGGCCTCATTAGCGAATTGAATGGTAATGTACACATATGTGTCCGAACTTTGATAAAAGGTATAATCAGTTCGCGGAATAACCGTTTCTTGTTTAATTATCTCAACTATATCTTGACACAGTATATAATTACAGGCATGTAACTTGTCTTGTTTCTCAAACTATGACTTCCCTCTTCTGAAAAACTGGTCTGCCTCCTTATTTGGAATCATCCATCAGAATCAACTGAATCAATTAAACACATTAAACTGCACTACACATTTTCAAAACGATAATGTATACATTCACCTTTTTCATTGAGAGCTTTGGGATGGTCCATAATTTTGTCATCAGTAAAATGGAAATTTATTTCCAGATCAAAACGATTCAGGAGTACTAGTTGGTAACACCTTCTGCTAAACAACAAGAAGAATTTGGTTGCAATGTCACTCAAACCTTACATTCATTTTCTTAAAATAAAACAATCATGCTAATACAAGCATATCCAGTAACACTGTTAAACCTCTCAACTAATACGATTCCTATAAATTGAGTTACAGTTGTTTCTACAACTTAATAGAATCACTTAGTAGGACTATGCTTAAAATAGAATTCTAATTACTAAATGTGTCATTTTGATGAACAAGTTTATGAATTTTATATTTCCTTTTATTTCTAAATCATTATCTATATCCGGATTAATTCTGCTTATTGTTTCAGTTCGTAAGTCCATTATATTAACTGCACATTGCATCAACCTCAGTCTAATTTACTGCCTTTTTAATTCGAATTTCAGAAACTTAACTATGCATGCAAACAACATCTACTGGAATTTGTTCATGTTAACAAATACTGTGTTCTAACCAAATATTCTTCATTAGATTGTATAATGATGAAATGACTTCGTCGTAATTATCAGCTTCTATAGATCAGATTGGTCTTTTTAACGGACTTATTATTGTATTATAATATGAGTTTTTAATACCAGAATTATTCTCATTATATTACGAGATAACTTTACATGATCATATTACTTAATCTATTTTTTTATTATGTATACTTATTAATGACACTTTTCAAGTGTCACCTTATATTCTATGTTAACATCAATATTGTTAACAATATTGCTAAATCACTTCATGTATTATCTATTCTTTCACTTTTATTCCCATTGCAAAGTAATCTTTTCAATTCATTAGTAAATAATTTATTTTAAATAAACTATTTTGCGATTTCTTCTTATTCAACAACAATAATCGTTCACTTCTCAATAAATTAGGTCTAACATATACTAATACATATATAAACACGCAAATTTATTTCTTTAGAAAACCAGACTGAAGTAGGAACATTTGAATTTTGCAAATTATTCTAAAATACCACAACTAAATAATGGATTTATTAAACAATATGAATATAAGTAATGAAAACAAGCACACTCTACAGTAGTAGTTAAATTTGAAAAGACGATGTGCGCTTTAAAACGCCATACTGGTCTTGTTCTCACAATCCACATGTCTTCTGCCTCAGTAAGGGTTGTTTAATCAACCGGAAGCCTACCTGACAACAATACTACCGCCGAACATATTGACAGTGATATGAAATCGTTCGTTGGCACATTTGAAACCTCTTTCTAACGACGATCTTATTCCATTTATACTGTCTGTTTTCACTCACTATCGGGGTATCTCATATATCCTTGATCTACCATTTTACTCCAACAAAAATGCGCACTCACACACAAACTATCAGAGGAAAAACGGTCGCAGTACTCAACTCTCTCCAATCACTTCTCCATCGAATAACACAATCATCTTGACACATGAAGACCTAGTCAAGACAAAGTTGTTATCGTTGCTGAGCAAACGACCAGCAATCTCAATGAAATTTCACCTTGCTGTTAGATAATTGGAAGTCGGGGGAAAAATTGCCTGTCAAAAAGGCATTTGTATCACCAATAGTTAAGTTATTTCACTGCCAAAACAAGAGGCAATAACCTATTTGACAGTTTGAGATCACACCAAAAAGGTGATCAGGCAATATTGATAGTTTTATTAGAGGTGGAAATATTCAGACAATAACACACTCAACTCTCAGTTATGCGCACAACTCTCCTTAGCATTGTTCTCATGCAGCAACAGCAACAACAACAACGCATCATACACTCATCAACAACACAAACCTACATTAATGCATTCAATCGTTGTGTGCTTCGCGTACGAACAGTCGCACGCGCACACACTCACACACACATTCCATGTCACACGTGAACTCGTCGTAACAGTGCAGGTGGAACTCAACACACAGTGTCAGTGCATATCGATGAGAAACCACACATGATGATGACGATCACACTGATCATGAGCATGAAGTTGGTGATAATGTGTGATGTATTTAGGTTAGTGAGTAGAGAGACTAATGCATGTAATGTGGCAGATCGAACTGAAGTAATTTGGTGTGTTCAAGCATCGACTGAGATACTTATTCGTTGAGCCGCTAACACATTCAGCCTCTCACTCTCTCATCATACATGATTATCTGTGTATATAGGAATTATATAAATAGTTAGATAGATATTTGTACATGGGATTGTGCACAGTGGTGTGGTGATGACTTCATTTGTTGTGTGGGTGTTTATTTTCGCATTACTGTCATGCAGTGAGCGACAATAAGCAACGAAGAGACAATTCTCAGTGAGGTGGTTTGTCAATTGTGGATAGGAGCAATTCACATTTGTGTTTGTGTGTTTGTGTAGATGATTGATGCTGTACAGTGGCTAATTCGCCTGCAGTTGACCGATGTATCATTGTGGTGGTGTTGTTTTAGAGAAGTGCTAGTGAAAGTTGAAGAAGTAGTGTTAGAAGTGGTGATGGTGGTGGTGATGGTGGTGGTGTTGGTAGTAGTAGTAGTAGTAGTAGTAGTAGTAGTAGTAGTAGTAGTAGTAGTAGTAGTAGTAGTAGTAGTAGTAGTAGTGTAGTAGTAGTAGTAGTAGTAGTAGTAGTAGTAGTAGTAGTAGTAGTAGTAGTAGTAGTAGTAGTAGTAGTAGTAGTAGTAGTAGTAGTAGTAGTAGTAGTAGTAGTAGTAGTAGTAGTAGTAGTAGTAGTAGTAGTAGTAGTAGTAGTAGTAGTAGTAGTAGTAGTAGTAGTACTAGTAGTAGTAGTAGTAGTAGTAGTAGTAGTAGTAGTAGTAGTTAGTAGTAGTAGTAGTAGTAGTAGTAGTAGTAGTAGTAGTAGTAGTAGTAGTAGTAGTAGTAGTAGTAGTAGTAGTAGTAGTAGTAGTAGTAGTAGTAGTAGTAGTAGTAGTAGTAGTAGTAATTGTAGTAGTATTCGAATTAGTGTTGGTGGTTCCGTTGTTCTGTTTCGTCATGAGGCGACTCACTACTGAGAATGTGTATATAAGTAGTATGAATGGTTGCATGCACTGTGGATGGAAAGTGTTGCTGAGCAGTGTTGTTCGACGTTGATGCAGTTGATAATGTCGATTTTGGTGTGTATGTTGATGTTGGGTGTGTGTGTTTGTGGAATGGTGCTGTTCAGTGTGGTGTTTGTGTATGTGGCAGTGTTTGATGTGCAAATGGATGGCTGATGGTTTCGTTTGAGTTGCATGGTGGGCACGTGTTGACTGGGCTTGTCTAGTTGACTTTGCGCAGTGGCGGTACCGTAGCCAATGAAGTTTATCTGAGGCGCGGTTATTGCTAGTTGAAAACTACTCCCAATACCCCGCACCGATGGCGTGAAATATCGTTGTCGGATGCAATTTTTCTAGGCCGTATCTGGCCCAATTCACACGAAACAGTTACTCATCGCTCACTCACATACACTTGCACGACCACACTGACATACGCCCAAACTGCATCATCATCATCATCATCATCATCACCGTCATCATCAACAACAACAGCCATATTAACAGTAATTCCAAAACTGTTATAACTAACACTACTACCATTACTATTATTCTTATCATTATTATTATTATTATCATCATCATTATTAGTTTTATTATTATCATTATTACTATTAATACTACTACTACTACTACCACTAATACTACTACTACTACTACTACTACTACTACTACTTCTACTGTTAGTGATACTGATTCAAATACTACTACTAATATCAACACCAACACAACAACAACAACAACAACAACAACAATAACTACTACTACTACTAATACTATTACTACAACTGCCGATAATAACAAATATCATACAATCGGAAAATTACAACAGACAATAACACACTCAACTCTCAGTTATGCGCACAACTCTCCTTAGCATTGTTCTCATGCAGCAACAGCAACAACAACAACGCATCATACACTCATCAACAACACAAACCTACATTAATGCATTCAATCGTTGTGTGCTTCGCGTACGAACAGTCGCACGCGCACGCGCACGCGCACGCGCACACACTCACACACACATTCCATGTCACACGTGAACTCGTCGTAACAGTGCAGGTGGAACTCAACACACAGTGTCAGTGCATATCGATGAGAAACCACACATGATGATGACGATCACACTGATCATGAGCATGAAGTTGGTGATAATGTGTGATGTATTTAGGTTAGTGAGTAGAGAGACTAATGCATGTAATGTGGCAGATCGAACTGAAGTAATTTGGTGTGTTCAAGCATCGACTGAGATACTTATTCGTTGAGCCGCTAACACATTCAGCCTCTCACTCTCTCATCATACATGATTATCTGTGTATATAGGAATTATATAAATAGTTAGATAGATATTTGTACATGGGATTGTGCACAGTGGTGTGGTGATGACTTCATTTGTTGTGTGGGTGTTTATTTTCGCATTACTGTCATGCAGTGAGCGACAATAAGCAACGAAGAGACAATTCTCAGTGAGGTGGTTTGTCAATTGTGGATAGGAGCAATTCACATTTGTGTTTGTGTGTTTGTGTAGATGATTGATGCTGTACAGTGGCTAATTCGCCTGCAGTTGACCGATGTATCATTGTGGTGGTGTTGTTTTAGAGAAGTGCTAGTAAAAGTTGAAGAAGTAGTGTTAGAAGTGGTGGTGGTGGTGGTGATGGTGGTGGTGTTGGTGGTAGTAGTAGTAGTAGTAGTAGTAGTAGTAGTAGTAGTAGTAGTAGTAGTAGTAGTAGTAGTAGTAGTAGTAGTAGTAGTAGTAGTAGTAGTAGTAGTAGTAGTAGTAGTAGTAGTAGTAGTAGTAATTGTAGTAGTATTCGAATTAGTGTTGGTGGTTCCGTTGTTCTGTTTCGTCATGAGGCGACTCACTACTGAGAATGTGTATATAAGTAGTATGAATGGTTGCATGCACTGTGGATGGAAAGTGTTGCTGAGCAGTGTTGTTCGACGTTGATGCAGTTGATAATGTCGATTTTGGTGTGTATGTTGATGTTGGGTGTGTGTGTTTGTGGAATGGTGCTGTTCAGTGTGGTGTTTGTGTATGTGGCAGTGTTTGATGTGCAAATGGATGGCTGATGGTTTCGTTTGAGTTGCATGGTGGGCACGTGTTGACTGGGCTTGTCTAGTTGACTTTGCGCAGTGGCGGTACCGTAGCCAATGAAGTTTATCTGAGGCGCGGTTATTGCTAGTTGAAAACTACTCCCAATACCCCGCACCGATGGCGTGAAATATCGTTGTCGGATGCAATTTTTCTAGGCCGTATCTGGCCCAATTCACACGAAACAGTTACTCATCGCTCACTCACATACACTTGCACGACCACACTGACATACGCCCAAACTGCATCATCATCATCATCATCATCATCACCGTCATCATCAACAACAACAGCCATATTAACA